TATATGTTACATACATTATTTATGATTAATACTATTAAGTATATTTATGGTATGTATAATGATTATTATTTGTAATAATATTCAACTACTTATTTTACTTCACTTTGATTTGATAAAAAATATTCTTAAACACTTATTACAATATTCTCTTTAATAACTTAATAAGATTATATAATTTTAAGTTGATGGTGTTAAAAATATATAAGTACTTACATTATATTTTTGAAACATATTTGTATTTATTTTAACCATGACATTTATAAAATTAAGAATAAATTAGTGACATTTTTTAATATTACTATAATCATTTTAGTTAATATTTTATATTTTATGAATTCATTAAATAAATCTAGTAATTTAAAATTCTGAGCGAAATAAATAATATTTTATATACACAATAAATTTTTTTTAATAAACTACATTGTTTCTATTTTATGTTACATACATGTTACTTCTCATAGAAGTATTTTAAAAGTTTAAATAGATATTTTTATATATGTTTAATCTATTAATAATCATATAGTAACTTATTATAATAAAGTTACTTTTTTTAAAGATACCTAAACTTGATTTCAATTATAAAAAAAGGATTTAAAATTGAAGAAGAATAGTCAAATGTATAGCTAACCTACCTTTTATGGTGATTTTTAACAACTTTACAATTTTAGATTTTAGATTAATATAAGTAGAGTTTATAGATTTAATTTTAAAATTTCTTAAACATTTTAACACAAGATGAATTGAACTATCAATATTAAATTAGAAGGAGATGCGTTTCTCCTAATAATTAAAGTCACATCCCCATTATACAGAAATTAGCTAAAATATATGCTCTATAGTAAAAATACGGTTTAAATTGTTAAAATAATATTCTGTCGTTAAAATAATGAAAATTATAAAATAAATTAGTCATAAGTAAAAAATGCTGAAATATATTATTTAGATAAAATATAACTATTATGGGTGATCTTAGTCTTATTTATTTATTTTTTGGTTTTTTTTTTTCGAATCGAGGTGACATGTCATTTAACAGGTAATTAAATGTAGGAATATCATTGCATTATATCCAGAATTTTTTTTTTTTTTTTGGTGGGGGGGTTTATAAAAAATGTAACATTAATTTTTTTTTTAATTGTGTGTTTTTTTATTATAATCAATAGACGATATACATACATTAAACATTTTTGAGTGGGGTATTACCCCCTAACCCCCCTGGGTACGCCACTGATTGCATATAAACTATAGATAACACAAAAATATATCAATTAGTCGAAAAGTCAACTGGTATCTATAAAATAAAATAAAATATGAAATAATTTAATAAATAGATAATGGTAGTAATAATAATGGTGACAATGGATACTAAAAGGTTAGTATGATTTAATATTCATATGAATTGTGTTTTTAAATTTTGTCGCTCCAAAATTCTGCGATCTTTATAGCCTTATTATTTGGGGCTTGTAAGTCGGATATTTCACATTTGATTAGACATGCGTTGCAATTTTGTACGTGCAACATTGTCTGGACTTCGCATACATAGTTTGTGTCTCCCTTCCCATCTCTTATTCTTCATTTTTTTAAGTTCTCCCTGTTGATTCTTTACCTGGTTTTAAAAGGGCTATTATGTGAGCTTTTCTCCATATTTTGGGTAGTTTGTAGATAGATCTGGTTTAATTAAATAGCTCTAGTATACATTGTTTGGTCTTAGGATCAAATTATTTAATTTTCTCTACAAATATATCGTCCAGCGATTTTCCTATTTTTAAGCATTTTTATGACTTCGTTTAATTCTTTTATATTGAATTGCTTTCCGAAAAACTTTAATCTTCTTCATTTTCAGTCCTCTCCTTTGTTAGGAGTATTTCTTTGTTACTAGTCAAACCCTCGATATTTATCGAGGTTATCGTTAGGGATGGCTCTGGCAAGGACCTTTTTGTAGTTGACTTTGGATTGGTATTTATCATGTTTGGTCTACAAGACCCGAGCCCCCGGTGAAAAGATTAGTTGATTAGTGAGAGAATCACTGAATTGTTTCCTAGATGTACCGCGTAGAGGTTCTTTCCCAGCACTCATTTATTTAGTAATTATTATACAGTCAATGCAATGGAATACAAGTACATAAATGATTGATATACTCGTATAATTATTAATTTATATATTTATATTTTATTTCATAAAGAATACTCGGATGAAACTCGTGATAGGCTTATATAACTAATAGGATTATCACAAAGATCATTACAATTTTGGAGAAAAAAATAATTAAATTAAATGATCGAATTTTGATTGTAACTAATATTATTTTATTTTATAATATATTAAATTAATTTGATTTTATTCATATTAAATTTCCTGTATTTATTCCCTTGTAATATTTTCATAATTAATTTAATCATTGAAGGTAAAATTAGACAAAATATACATATTTCAAGAAGTATGATGGACAATTTTCGTTTTGAAGGTAAAATAAAATTACGAATATTGCACGATTTCGCGCCCCTTTGTAATTCGCGTCCCTGGATTTAGCACAGTTCGCCATGCCCTTGCTACGCCACTGAATGTAATAATAGTATATTTAAATATAAGTTATCATAATAGACTTATTTGATGTCCACAAACTATAAGTATAGCATGTTTTTGATACTTTGTAAAAAAAATATTGTATGAGCTTAAGGGGAGGCCTAGGCCAAAGTAAATTTAAAGTAATTCCGGCTCACCTAGGCCCCTCCCTGGCTACGTACTTGTATATTAAGAAGAGAAAATGATAACGAAATATACATTTTTATTTGTAAATATTTACAAAATCATTTGCTTCCATTTGAATATTTATATATAGTTACGATAATCAGACAATTCATAGTTCATTAAATCGTTAATTGTAATAGTATATAATTGGTGTCAATGACAACATATAGGACCACTCACACGCCTTGAATTGTTTTAACAGTTAGTTGAAACATAATTAGGTAGATATATCTACCTAGTTCATTCATTAATAATTTTTTTTTGTACAATTTATCTTTATCTATTATATTTATATCTAGTCCTAATTTTATTTTGATAACATTTTAAATAAACGCTACTTAGTGATTCACACTTAATACTATTATAATTAATGAGTTTCAAAATTATATGATTAAATTATAAAATTAGTACAACTATAAAATATTAACTAATTTACAATATTTACAATGTATTTTACAGAATGTTTAATGTTATAAATAACAACATTATTTAAAAAATATAATTTCTTGACAATCATTTTAATATAAATTTGATGGTTTATATTATTATTGATAAAGTCTTGTAAAATTAATTTGTTTTTATTTCATTATTACAATAGTGTCTAAATTGCATTCCTATACCATTGTGCTTTTATACATAATTTTGATAAATTAACAGTAAATTGTTTTATTCATTTGAGAAATATTGTTCCAATATTTAAATTCCTATTCGTCATTAATCATATAATGGTAACAAATGTATACATTAAGTGCTAATTTTCTTTGATTTATAATAATAATAAATATTTATGATCTGTCGACTTTTAAATTATATCAAATTTATTTGTTTTTTTTTTTTATTTTATTAAATTATAACTTCCAGTTGAATCCTAAAACATAATCAATTTTAGTTTAAAAAGTAATATAGGTATATTTACTAAATTAGTACAGAAAGATATTTTCTTAAAATAAATATATTTAATATACTTAAACATTATAGTACGTATATTTTAGTTATCAATCATTGTTGTTTTCTCGATCTAAGATTGCCACATAATTGCCCTTGGTATATATCATTATCCTACTAACTTATCTTACATGACTTTACATGTTTTTTCATTAAAATTCAACCCTGCGTTGTTTGTTATAAATGTATACATATATGTATGCATGTATATACTGCAATCGATCAATAAAATAACAGCTATGTCATTTAAAAAACGATACAGGGTCATTTTGAAAAATTAAAATTACGTGTTACACTTCCTATGTTTTGATTCTATAACGTATTCCATAAATATAAAATGTTCCATTCATTAATGATATCTTTATATAAAAATGTATACAGAAAATCATCCATCATATTACCATAACGTCACTAATAAATATTGCCACAGTCAATTAATAACTTATTATATTAAATGTATACATTAATGGTAACTACAAATAGTCAGAAACTTCATAAAGATACAGAACATTCGTATGCTAAACAATAACTACCTTTATATATATATAATGTATATTTGTTTGAAGGCTATTCTTCTATCGTTTGATTTAAGCATAGATTTTGTAAATTTACAATATTTTAGATTAAATTAAAATGTTGTCAAATTATATTAAATTAAATCATATTAATTATCAAACAATAATATTTATTTTATCATTGTATAATATAGGTATTATAATGAGTACATAATTGTATTAACTATACTAAATACAATTTGCAACTTTTTTAATTTAATTGTAAGGTTGAATTAAGTATAAGAATATATCTTCAAATTTAAAATATTAACTGATACATACATTTTTTAATATTGTGTTAATATTATAATACTTATAGATAATAGATACGCCATTCATTTTTTGTTGATTTTATAGGATAAGACGAAAATTAATTCGTCCACCAATGTGTCTTTTTGGACTTGTATATTATATTCGATACATTTTTAACTCTATACTTAATATTTTCTCGTCCTCTCAATTCTTATCATTTAACATAATTTTTTCGAAATAATGTAACATCAAATCTGAGATATCTACTTGCTTAAAATGAAAAATCAATAATAAAGTATATTAAATAAATTATTTTGGTTCTAGGGTTCTACCATTAAGTAATCACCCTTATATTATATTATTATTTACCCTTATATATTTATTTACCTTATGAATAATAATAATATATATATGTATTCAAATGCATTTTTATATTCATAAATATAACTTTTATATTTAAAAAAAAATATGTATTTAAACTATTAATAGCCATATTTATTACAGGTTTAGTATATGGATCTCCAAACCATCCAGGAGATGAACAATCTTTTGGTTACGATTCTGGAGAACTTGGTAAATATTTCAAATACTGAAACAAGTAATTTTCTATTGGTTAAAATTAAAATTAAAAAAAACTCTGGCTATTATTAATTATTTTGACGAAGATCTACTTTTCGAAAATTAAAAATCATACAAATTAGTAAAATCCAAACGAGTACTATATTTGTTTATTTATATTATTTATATTAGTTAATTAAAAAATAACATAAAATGCATAGTCAAATAAATATAAAATTGAATTTATAAATAGCAGAACAAAAATTATAAGCTCACTAAATATTAATAAAGTCACATATCAATGTTAGCTTGTAACAATATAGTCTGTACATTTTCTTGCGTAATTTCTTAAAATAATAAATATTACATTTATTAACTGTTCTTCTTAAATGAACCCTATTAAATTTCACTTTAAACTATTAATTGAAAACTATCTTGTTAACAGTTTGAAATTGTAATTATATAACATGATATTCATAAACTTTATTAAACAACAACTAAATTAATTTCATGCTTTCTTAATTTTATTAAACCAGTTATTTTAATTAAAATGTATAAAATTAATTTATTATGGTTTGTATGTATATAATGTATACTGTGGTGCATTTAGTGTGTTAAAGTTCATTGACAAGATTTTACCATATTAAAATTAAAATTTTAATTTTTAAAAATCATTTGAACAACTAAGATATTTTTGTAGTTAAATAAAATTTATAACTTTTTATTATTTTTGAATTTGCTAAAAAAATGTGCTTGTATATAATTTTTATAGCAACTTTAAATACTTAAACATACTTGCTTTAAATACTATGAAGAGTTTGATAAAATAATGATTATCTAACTTTTGTAACACATATTTCTTACTACACTATAATGTAAGGTTTGTAATGTAACCACAAATCAACAAAGTAATTTGATATACACAAATGAGCAAAATAATAATAATAATAAATTTATTTTTCAAGTTCACTATGGTAAGATAAAATAACATTTGTATAATAAAATCCGAGTAAATGATATAAAATATTTATATTATTATACACAATAAATTGCTTAAAAAATATAAAATATGAATGAGCTTCTACAGTTTTGATTATAAATTATAATATAATTTGATAATACAATTCATTATTATTTTTAATTATAAACCAATGAAAATAAAATATGATTTTAAAATAATTTATTAAGTAAGTAATCTACATTTTAGATCCCCCGCATTGGGCTACTGAATATAAAACTTGTTCAGGAAAATATCAATCACCTATTGACATCGAGGAGGATCTTGTGACGAAGGTAAATTTACCACTTTTACGTTTTCACAATATCGACACACTTCCAACAACAACATCCATAATGAATAATGGACATACAGGTAATATTATAATTATAATCTATTTTTATTAATTTATAAAGCATCAACTTAGTCTATTCATCGATATTCAAATGATAAAAAAGAAAAGTTTGGTACATGATTGACAAATAAGGACAACACAATTTGAATATTATGCCAAGTCACTTTAGTTTATACAAAAATTATTACGGTTATTAGGTTGTAGAAATATAATACTATTTTTAATCTTTTAAAAGAAGTCATCAATATGTAGTGCTTAAAAAATACTTTTGTAGGCATATATTTTATCAATATTAAGTATCGAAAAATATTATGGGGAAACTTGTTTATTCTTTTGAATAATAATTAAATTATTGTCAAGTATCATTAAATAAATTATGGACTTAGAGAAACTACTTACCGAAGTGAAAAGAAAAAGTACAAAATGGGGAAGAGTGGAAAGAGGTGTCAGTGGCGGCAAAAACTCTTGAAAAGTTGTGATGCCAGTGAGAGAGATAATTAACGAGTGATAATTAAAGAAAATTAATATTCAAAAAACATATAGTCTTTTTGTTATTGTAAATTATATAATTATTAATTAGTTACACTTCTTTTATATTAATTTAAATTAAATCAGTTGGTACTAAAAATTCTACAATTTATTTATCAAGCTACAAAATAAATTAAATTTAAATAAAGTTAAATAAAATTTAAATATTTAACATATAAGTGCCTATTTTGTTACTATTATGTTAAATAAATACATATAATTAAATATGTTTGATAACATGATTTTTATAATGTAATTTTTTAAATATACATTATAATATATAATAATACATTTTTCTATGCATATTTATAGTGCATTTTTTAATTTTTTTATAGCATTAATATCCCAGCCCTACTTATCAATAATATAATACACCAGCGAATAGTTCATTATTGAAGCTTTAAAAATTATGGTACATGAGATTTTAAATTAGTTTCGTGTTCCGCACCTTTATATTTGGTACCATTTAATCATTCATAAATGACCACATTTTAAAATTTAAAATCAAATTGTTGAGTTTTTGTAACCTTGGATATATATTTAGATGAATTTACTCTAAAGGCCGCTTTACGATTATGAAATTAGCCACATTCGAGAACCACGAATAAGTGACTAGCTTGTAAAAGTCATGTTTTCAATTTCATGGAAATACGAGTAGTACAATTATTAATTTTAACTATTGATTATTACCTAATTTAATTATTTTAACTTTTTATTAAATTATTAAAACATTTCTTTTTCTAAATAAATTATTAAATATAAAAATAATTTTAATAATAATTTCACAATTATAAATTATTTTATAATGATAGAAAAAAAATAGTCGTCTATTCTGCGCTCTGTTAACAATATATTTGACAATATTGTAAAATACTTCCCCTGGTAACCCAATCTCGCACCTATGTTTTTTTCTTCATTTTAAAATTAGAAGTAATTTGATTTGCACACTATTGAGCTAAAATTATATCTGCCAGTTCTAGTTCCATTTTGGCCACTGATAAAAAAGATTTGAACAGACAATTTGTAGTGTAGACACTGTCATCAGTGCTCAAATAAAAATTACACTGATTTGTGATTCATGAATATGGGTTCTTTGATAAATGTAAAGCAGTCTTAACAAATATTAAGGCTCTTTATTATGAGATTAATATTAATACATCCCTTTTAGAATACGATTCCGTGTGATAAAGACTTGATAATTTAGAACCCAACGGAAATTTCTTTACTTTTTTTACCGTCTCAATTGTATGTGTCTCAAGATATCTAACTAGCTTTGCTGGTTTGCTTAGTATATCGTCACCTTGACTACTTTAATACTGATAAAAGAACATTCAGAATAGAAATTGAGACAAACATATTTTGATTATATAACACTGTAAGATTACGTACATATATCGTGTAAAAGTTAATAAAACACCCATTTATATTAATGTATTATTTATGTTATAACTATATTTAATAAAGAAAATAAAAATTTTAGTGAAAAAATATTTATAAACATATATTTTTTGTAATATCACTTTGGTATGTTCGATACTAAGTACAAATTATTAGTGTTATTACTAATGTTGCAACTTAAATTCTTTATAAATTAAAATATGATAAAATAATAACTTACTTATCTATGTATGAAATAACCAAGTAAATTTAAAATTACAAATAAATTAGTTACAGTTGTTGTAAAAAATTTATTTAAGATATTAATTTTATATTTAACTAATTTTTAAAATTGAATGTTTTTAATCCTAAGACTTTAAAATATAATTCATTAACATTTTAATAGTTACAATGTAACAAATAAATTTTTTTTTTATTTATATATTTTCAATGTTACTACTTGAAAATATTATTGTACAGAAAAAAAAAATTTATGAAATTACTTTTAAATACATATTAAAACCTGTATAATATGGAAACCGAATATTTTTTCCATTTTAGACAGGTTTCCATTCAATATAGGTCGACAAAAAGAGTTAAAACTAATAATTTTTATTTTATACATACTTCTTAATTATTTATTAAACTGTACTAATTTTTTATTATACATATATAATTAAGAATATATATATTTAAAAATTACAAATTTATATTACTGATAATTTATCTTTTTCACTTAATTCAATTAATTTCAATTTTTAATTTTAAGTTAAATATTTATTGATTTTTGACATACTGAATTATGTAATAAAAATTTAAAAAAATATGTAAAATATAAAAAAAATAATAAAAAATATAATTAAAAAAAAATATAACAAATATGTAAATACAAAAACTTTATGCAGTTCGCGGCGTTATAAACACAAAGCACTACTACATGTTACAACACTAACGAACACATAAATGTAGTGCAACGAAATAATCCTAATAAATATAGATTATATTTATTAACTGATCATTTTCAAATTGGTATTTCAATGATAAACAGGTACATGGTAAAAATATTGTTTCAATTTCCATGTTAGACAAGTTCCATTTTACTCAGAGCATGATGTATTTAAAAATGTATTGGAGTCACCGAGACCGAATAATTTTTCAATAAAAGACAGGTTTTCGTATTATTCAGGTTCCTAAATAGACAGGTTTTACTATATTACAAACTAACTTATAATTTATAATTTGTCATATTAAAATATTTGAATGCCTTTATTTTTAAGAGTGAAGTACCTAATATTTTATATTTACAAATATAATAAAATCGAGAATCTCTTCAAGAATTTTAACTCATCAAATATAAAATTATATTACCAGTGATAAGTAATTTATAATTTTTTTTTTTTTTGATATTCATTAACATATTTTCTCTAAGCCGGATACTTTTGGCTTTAGTTTATTAATACTCTTTGTTTTTTTGTTTTAGTATGTCGAGTTCCAATTTTTTTTCTTAAAAACGAAAATATTTTAGTTATTACTAATGAATTAAAAATTGTACAATAATTAACCTTAAAAATTGACGTTATTATCTTTACTTTGCTTTATTAGTTGAACTAATTTTTAAAATAATATCCCTACAACATAAATATTGAACATTTTGAATTTTTGATACTTATGTTAAAAATATATCAAATATTTTTTATCTATAAAAGATTTTAATGTTTTCATGATAACTACAAATATATTTGAAAAATTAGCGAAATCCAAAACAGATGAATCGTTTTTATTAATTTGAAATCAATAAATCGTTGAATTAAGGGATGGAAAACGTTTTTAAAAAACGTTATTAAACAGAAAAAAATGAATAACGAAAACAAAACAAAAAACGAAAACAAAAACGTAGAACGGAAATAAATTAGAGTATTATACGTTATTTAATTATTTATACCACGAAAAAAAAAATCTGTTATCGAAAACGGAAAAACTGATAATTCTGATAATATTGTTGACAATAAAATATATAAATAGCATAGAACGATTATTATTGTAGGCCACACACACACACACTGCAGTGGTAGCGGTAAAATTATATTATCTTTCATCACGATGGTCATGGTTCATAAGTAATCTATAACATGGTTTATTAATATTATTAATATTTATTAAATAAAAAACAGCTTGTTTTATTTTATTTTTATCAATGTTTATCTTTATATTGTACTTAGTAGGTACTTTTACCTACTAAGTACTGTTTTTATTGGGTACCACGTAACAACTATATAACTATTTACTAGTAATTAGTATTTATTATTTTTGCTCAATATGTAAATACAAATTTTTTATTTTGATTCTTAGATGTATTTTATATTTTTATTTTATTTAATATTTTACAATTATATGTTAATTTTCTAAGTTGTTGATTATTATTATTATTATTTACTCTAGAAATATGAAATAGTGTTTCACTTTAGTCTGTAAGAACTGTAAAACTAAGTCTGTAGCTTAAGTCTATACTTTTTGGTTTTTAATCTTTACCAATGCACTTTTAAAATTTAAATATTAAGGATAATAATTTGAATTTTTAACTTTTAAGTGCATTTCTCTATTGTGCGTTACTATTAGAACTAAAAAGTTAAAAGTTACGAAGTATAAGTTATAAGAATATATTATATATACATAAAAAAAAAAATTTGAAAATCGTTCTTTGAAAACAATAAGAAAATAACGTTTTTAAAAACGTTAATCAAAAACGTTTAAAAACGTTAAACAAAAACGATATTTTTTAAATCAATAAACAAAAACGAAAACGAAAAAATTAAAAACGGTTTCCATCCCTGGTTGAATTTAAAAACGATTTTGAACGAGAAGGACGTTTAGCTTAACCTCTATGTTAGAAGATAAATCAAGTTGATTAAACCAAATATTACGAAAAAAATAACATATGAAAATAAATTAATGACTTTGATTTAATTTTTTATAAATTTATAAATTATGACATATTTCTTATACTACAATAATATTTTTTTTTTACAAACGAATAAACAACATGAATTTTATCAAGTAGTAATTTTGTCCATTTCTTTAAGCAAAAACTTATTTTGGATATGAAAGGTTCTTAAATTAACCCATATATATATTTATACGAGTACATACATAAACATCTATATATATATTAACAATGGATAATTTAGTTGATTATGATAAATTGGTAAATTAAAACTTATGATTAAATTATATTTAATATATAACGCTCAAATATCTTAACGATAGGACAATCTTTTATGTTTTTTCTATATTTTTATACAGTGTTATTGCATAATTCAAACAACTCTTGATACCAAAATTCTTATTGTAAGCTGATGCAGTTATATTGACATTTTTATTCAGTTAACTAAGTTAATATTAATTATTATATTATTATTACAGTATATAAAATACTAATAAGATCCAGTTTATATTTCAATTCCTTAAAAATTTAATATTTTAGACAGAAAAATAATATACTATTATGTTTTATGATAATTATTTGTAATTTTGGATGATTCAAAAAATGTCATTTCAATAATTTTCTTCGTCCAAATTTAATACAATATTTTTTAATTAAATGTTTTGTAAACTTTTTTTTCATCGATTACAAATTAATTAAGTAATGTCATTATAGTTTTATTATTTCTGATGATTAGAGTATTATTTTATTTATTTGAAATTATTTCTTTGTTTTTTAGAATTAAGAATATTTGTTATTATCTATAAAACATTATTCAAAAATATCTTGCGTTTTGTAAAGTTATTACCTTAACTAATATATTGAATAAAAACTGTTAAAATTGATTTTATACTTATTATAAAAATATTATTAATATTAGCCTCTGTATTGTAATATGCAATTTTATAACTTCAAAACATAAATGTACTCATACAATAAATACTTATAGTTTTATTTAGAGTAAATATATCTTCTATCCAAACTATATTATTATCTTCTTGTTTATCCATATGTTATATATTAAATATATTTAAATTATTGTTGAATAAACTATAAAATAAAAATATTTCGATAATAAATAAATATGACTATTTATTAATTGTATAATTATATTCATATAACTATTAAAATATTAAATTATAAATAAAGTAATATAATATTACTTTATAAAATAATAATCGCAAAATTAATATATATATATATATATATATATATATATATATATATATATATATATATATACTCGTATATTTATTTTGTATAAAATTAAAGGGCATTGAATATATAAAGAAACATATACATTACGTTGTATGAAATTAAATCTTATAATTCAATTAATAAAACTAACATTAATAAACTTCTTATAACTGTAACTTCTTCAAAATTTCTTACATATGTTTTATATATTTTTGTAGTACCTATATAATTATTTTAATATATATAAATATTAAATATAACTCAAAGACTAGGAAAACTATAAAATAGATTTGTACCTAAAAAATAATAAAATTCTTTCGTTAACATGATGTTTTGTTACAAGTGTTGGTAGTTGTTATTGGTTAAACTTTAACGAATTAAATTAATAAGCAAATAATTTTTATAATTGTAGCTTATTTATTTTAAGATGTTTACATCGAGGTTGTTAAAAGGATGCAATTTAGATCAATCAATAATAATCATTTTTATTTACATGTATAATATTATCACAATACTATAATAGACATACTGAATTTCTGTTTAACTATAACACAACTATGTTTTAATAAAATATACCTAATATTCTTAATATTTTTTTGAATTTTTAAAATTAAGAATCAAAAATTTTAAATTTTATAATAATTTACCGAAAAAAAATTTTGTAATACGTAGAAACCCCAAAATGTATCAAATTTATTGCAAAATTCATCTCCGTAAAATATAATAATAAAATATCAAAGCGAAATATTTTTCGTAAATTCCACCTTTTAATGCTGCTTTTCAAATACATTTTTTTAATCTATGGAAAAGTTAAATAGGTATCTAAGTATCAATTTGTGCTGTGTTTAGTATTTACAGATAATGTATAATATATAAGGTAATTTGCAACTTTTGATTAGTTTTTATGCTACTATAATTTGTACTTAACAAATAATTATTATTAATAAAATTAAATGTTAAACATTATTGAAAAACGAATTGTTTATGACTGCTCAGAATGTAATTATTTTATAAATAATATATGTTTACAGTGGTCTTACAATTAAATTACTCGGCACCAGTAATGATCAGTGGAGGTCCTCTAACTCCCACCTACAAATTCACTCAGTTACACTTTCATTGGGGTGTTAATGACTCATTGGGCAGTGAAGATCTCATCAACAACCATAGGTATGTTAAATATTTGAATACGTATAAGAAGTCATATAGCTAGTAAACTAGATACTTTCTTTATAATTATAGATAAATTGATTTATGAACTTGACAGCAGGCTAAATTCTTATAATCTTTCTCTTTCTCATTTCAAATTTTTAGTTAATTAAATATATATTGCATTAAGATTATACTTGACAATACCGTTGATAAATTTTAAAGCAGAACGTTCATTTTCAAAGTTGACTCTAATTAAAAATCGACTAAGATCTACACAAATTGAATAAAGGTGAAATGCATTAACATTTTGTCAATTGAAAATGACATATGTAAAATACTTTCATTTGAAGACGTCTTAGATACTTTTACATCAAATAAATCTAGAAAAAACATTTTTAAATATTTATTTGTTTTTTTTTGTATTATTACCATATATTTTGTATTTAATTAAATTGTATTATTTAATAAATTAACTATGTATCTAATGTAAATTTGCTCTCTGAGAAAAATATTTATTGTATTTAATTAATATTGTACAATATAATAAATAAAAATACTTTCTTTTTAAAAAAATTGGGCCTCTAAAAATGAATTAGACCAGAGCTACTAATTTCATTAATCTGGCTCTGGTAGGGATAACAGCGAGAAGGACTGAGAGAGAGTCGAAATTAGTGGTAAGAAAGAAGTAATGGTCAAAGCAAAGTTATGTGAGAATAAGACTTAAGAATTTATAAAAATTTTTATAAATAACTTAAACCTTATGATTATGATTTTACTAAATGCGTGTGAATCGTGTACACCAAACCTATAGCCATATGTGTCCAATTTTTTTTATCTATGGTACTCTGAAGTAATTTATACAAATTTGGAGGCACTCTATACCATGTATTTATATTTATATTTTACAACTTTGGTTTTCTAAATAATATATGGACCAAATATATTATATAAACTTATTATTATATTTTATATATATTTATATTTATAATTTATTTTATATTAAATAAGTAAATTGAGGGTATAATACTGAATTATTATAGTATTTACTGAATAAACACCCCAAAGTATGAAGTACAGTAATAATATAATTTATTGCTAATTAGTATCAATGTAATCATAACAAGATTTATATAGACATATGGTAAACACATAAATAAACAATTAATTAATTAATTATAATTTAATTTAATTATTTTGGATAGTTTAGTGTAATAAATAATAATAGTATAATATTTTTCCATCTTATTCTTATGTTTAAATAAAAAGATATGAAATAAAACAATGTAGTATTTTAAATTTAATTAAATGCTATCATGAATTTTGGTGCAATTTAAATAAAATTAATTGGAATTATACGTGTTATTGAATGAAGCTATTCATTTACTAACAACCTATTAATGCATGTAGAGTTGCCGCAAAGAGTTCTGTAATTTGAAAAATTAAATGTTGGATGGTTTCGAGTTTCGGTTTAGAGTTAAAGGATGAAGCTGCTAAATTAATTAAAGTTAGGGATGGCTTTCATCGATAGAATCATTTATATTACCAATATAATTCAAAACGTATATGTCTAAGACTTATCGTAAAACCTTATAGCTTTGATCCTTTTTAATGTAAAATGTAGATTATCGTTTACAATAAAAATAGTATGGATATTTATTTTGTTCGTGTTCAAGCTTTTTGCTATAGACAACTAAGAACGGATCCCAAATGACAGAACCATATTCAATTATTCAAGTAATGACTAAACTAATTCCATGTATAAAATGTTCAGTGCTTTAATATTTGAGAAGTTATGCGTATTTCTTTTAATAAATCCAAGTATTGAAGATGACTTTAAAATACATATATATACATATATACACATTTTATGTAATATATCTACATACATTTTTTTTTTTTTTTTTTTTGATTGTGAAAAATATGAATGATTGCTTTGTATTTAAAATAACTTCATGGCACCCTCAAAAGAAACCTCTGCTATAATGCTATGAGCATAATTGTTTTTAATATTCATTGATATTAATTCAAATTAAAATATTAAAAGTTAAAATTAATATCAATAAGAATATATTGTATCATATATGTTTACAAATTTATTATACCTGCATAAAAAAGCTGAGCATGGTAAGGTGGCTGTCCAAACTTAAAGTGAATAGTCGCCGGTTTTTCTAACGTATTTGGTATATATTCTGAACAAACATAAAATCAACTGAAAATACTAAACGAAAATCATCCAGATTCAATGATCAAAGCTACCAAGATTAATTTAAAAAATATACAAGTTTATAATATACTTAGTGTGTCACATAATATATATTAATACAAATTTACTTATTCTGTAGAAATTATGTTTTAAAGCGAAAATGTATAACTATTCTCACGTTTATATATTACAAAGACTCATAAATTATTTAAATTTAAATTTCGGAACTGTTTTTATTATTTTATCAATATAAAAGTTTAAATTTTCGGTGGTTAGGTACCCTACATAATAAATGATATATTAGAAAATTAAATACTACAAACGCTTAACTTCCAGATAGAAAATTCGAGTATGTAGCTTTTATTTACATGATATGCATGTTTAATTTAAGTTCTATTTGAAAAACTTAAAAATACATATGGCAAAAATATTATCAATTATGAAAATAATTCTCGAGGGAAAAATATATACGCAGTACAGCGTTTCACTAACTGTATATAACATTAATACTAGGTATTTCTTAGTATATCAAAAATTCATGATAACAAGTATTAATTAAAATATTAAATAAATAAATATTACTATTTGATCTTAAATGTTTGGTTTTGTAGCTATCCGATGGAATTACATATGGTGTTTACAAATACAGACTACGATAGTGATTCAATAGCATTGACAAAAAATGATGGGTTAGTAGTCTTAGCTTCGTTCTTCGAAATCACCAAAGAAGATAATCCTGTATATTCTGAAATTGTTAATGCCCTGGATATAATACATATGCCCGATACTTCAACATTTTTGCCGAACGGGTTCACTATTAGATCTGTATTACCAGAATCAACAGAACATTATTTCACTTACAAAGGCTCTTTAACTACACCACCTTGCTTAGAAGTTGTTACATGGATAGACTTCAAACACCCAATCCGACTCTCTCATAATCAGGTACTAATTAGTATAAGTATAAATAAAAATATAGTCATCAATTAAGAAATTTAATAATAAAACATGCTGATATAAATAAAACAAGATTTTTGTCTAAAATACCTTCCTACATTAGATACTTCACATTAAATTGTTATTTATGAATTCAATTTAAATTTTAACGATAAGTATACAAAGTATTAAATAAACAACATAATTAAAAATGTTATCAAGTGATTTTTACTTTATTAAGTCGATTGCTATAATAGTTTATTCTTGTTAAACGTACGTTATACCATTGTGTAATTATTATAAAATGTAGAACAGTAAAAAAAGGAATGTATTACTGTGAAAAAAATTGTATCAATCTACTTTGATTTAATTTTAAATTCTTTTTTTCTTTCACAGATCCAAGCATTCCGTATGCTGCGTTCAAAACATGGACAACTTACGCACAACGCAAGACCCGTGCAAGAGTTATCGGGACGACCTGTATGGTACAACGTGGGTGGGTTTGCAAATCTGAACATTCCAAATACAAGTAGTGGATTAACATTTGATTTTTCCATATTCAATATGGTCATGTTATTGTGTTGTAAACTCGCTACCTTAACGCTACTCTGAGGCTGTCTGCTAGAGTTTAAACTACAAATACTATCAACGTTTGGTTATTAATTATGATCCAATGAAATGATGATAATTTCACTATATTTATATATTTATATATACCTTTAAAATAATTTTTAATTTGATTGTGTATATACGTAAAATGATTGAAAAAGTGTGTATAATTATTAATATGTGATAGATCTCAACCATATATTAGTCTTAAACAATATAATATGCATATTTTATTTTCTATTTAACGAAATTATTTTTTATATTTTATTATTATTTTCATAATACTTAATACATTAAGAGATTATTTCCTAATAATAACTTTACCAACTATTTTTATATCAATTATTTGAGAGATATTTAATTATTATGTGTATTTACATGGCGTATGCATCACGCGTATATTCCTGTAGTTCTAATAAAATACTAAATTCGTTCGAACCCAAGTGATCGTGTGTTTTATTTATCATGTGACATTAAATTTTTTCACAGTAAAAATAGCAAGTATAATTTGTTTTCTTTTATCGATACCATTTATAATGCTATAAACTACAGTATTTATAGTTTATAATTTTAAACTATTATTTAATTTTGTAGGTTTTAATTGTCGATCATTATTCAATGTATAATAGAGATTAGATAATAAAGTTATCATTACATCTTACATGTTTTGTTTGTAGAAACTGTAACATACAATAATAATTTAGTATCAAGTAACATATACTACTAGAATAGGAAAATATTGATTTTATATTTAAGATTTTATGTTAATCAATTACATTGGTGGTATCTAGCTGACCTAGAAAGATGGTTTTTATGAATAATTCTGTTTAATTAAATGCATGTAGCATAGTTCTGTATTGAAAGTATCAGGTTTATTTAATTTGATCATTATGTAAAATGTTGTTATTGTAAATTGAGTCACTTGTGGCATTATTGCAACAATCTAGATAAAATAAAATATTATAAAAATAGAATATTGCTTTAAAATTTAAATAAAATTTGTAAATCAATTGATATATGTTATGATAAATGAATTGGTTCAAATTATTGCATTTACTTTTATTATATTTAAAAAAAATACTCGTTTTTTAAGTAAAACTTTAAGATATTTACTGGAAAAAACTTAGTACATAAATTAAATACTTAATTTATAATATTAGTTTTAATTTTAATTTTAGTGACTTATACTTAAAAATTATTTATTTTTATATCATATCATAACGCCATAATTTAAAAAATTGTATATTTAATGATTATTAATATAATGTTCATAGTTGTATTTAAGAACCAAATTAAAATGTATTATTAATTGTAAGTGGTTTCGTTTGAAAATTATTCATTTAACTCATTTGTAACTAGGTATTGTTATATTAAATGTAAATAGCTATCATTTATGTTATTCAGTAAAGTTTATGGGATTAAATTGATTTTTATGTTAAACATAATTGTTATATTATGAACAATTATTTTATTTGATATCGAGTGTAAAGAACTATGGACATAAATGCAATAAAAACAACCAATTTTTTACTTATTCTGAAAGAAATGTATCCAACAAAATTTTAGTATACCAATACATAAAAAATGTTTAATTTTTTTTTATTAATACAATTACTTGTATGGAATGTAAATTGTCAATAATATACACTGTGCCTTTTACAGTGACTACTTACACTGTATTATTTTTTGTTAGTTGTAAAAACATTTATGTTTATAGGGTGACTGATTATTTTTTGTTTTATTGATTTAATTAATATTAACGCCACTACTTATAAATGTACTGTTTATGTAATGACACAACTAGACCTGTTAGGTTAGAAGAATGGGTATTTGCTAAAATTGCCGCTTTTAGCAAGCCATCAATTTTATTTCATCATAGAATTAATTAAATTTAACTTTATTAATCATCAAATTTAAAACATTTTTTGAATAATAATAATATTGAGACAATATTTAATATATTTAACTGCTGTTTCGTATTCTGTTTTTCAAACCTTCTTTTACGTTTAAAGTTGTCTTACTTTTTTGGAAACGTTGTGAATCATAAATTGGTATAGATTTGGTTAGTAGTGTTGTAGTTACCAATAAACACATTCTTATACACACTATTTAAGGCCCTGTGCCGGGCTGGAGCGTATTACAAACGTTATAATTTGGGCTCGGATTTATATGTTAATATATATTTATTTTATTTTGATAAATTAATTTAGGTAAGTGATAAATTCGTTTCAAGAGATTTCCAATGAAATTAACTATATTTTATTTTACATATCTTGTCGCAAATACAAGTTTTTACATATTTCTCAATAATTCCATATTTCTTACATATTTCGACCATTTGTCCATTTACGATTTATTAATAATTCAATACACACAATTTCCCATGTTTCCAAAAGTAAGTAAACAAAATAGTACCAATTATTGAATTTAATCTACGGTCGATATATGTTCCATATTTCGATATTTCAATACCTTCGACAAGAAAAATGACTTAAGTTCAAAGTTAAGGATTCATAAAAGAAGCTGTATGGTAAAATGTATAGAACAAGTACAAAGATCATTGGGAATTGTAGTAAAAGAAAAAATGTGAGTATTAAACAAAAATCCTGGTTTAAATTGTCTAAAATGAATTAAAGATACATTGCGGAATGAATGGGGTAATATTACTCCCTAAGAAAGTGGAATTTTGCTGTAATGTGCGAACAAAGGCAAATTAAAAAAAAAAAAAAGAGAGTGGAAATATGAAATTTGCACTCATTACCTCTGTTGAAATCAAGCGCTTTTTTAGTCGGCACAAATCTGTATTACAACAAATCGTAGATAATTTGACATTGAAAATTCGAACATGTACCTATATGGTATCTCATTACTATCAAGATCAAGGTTCAATTTAATAATAATTTCAATTTGAGTGTCTTAATTTTTTTTTTTTTAATTTTTTTGACATTTATAAAGCGATTTTTTATTACATATACTTTTACAATATATATTTACATATATTAATTTTTTTAATACATATAAATCTGAGCCCTAGTTATAATAAACAATGTCGAACTTTTGAACTATAAGACACATATAACATATGTTCTATGTAAATATAAATTTGAAATTAATTATTTAAGGAAATAGTAGAGTATTTGCTAGTAACCATTCGTGAAGAATAGAAGATTCTAACATTAAATTCATTCCCCGGGAATATACATATAATAGCTAACTAAAGTCATTTTTATTTTATGCCACATGGCACTAATTTTCTGAATAAATGTAACATCCATTACCCTGATCCCCCTCCCATTAAAAAATGTATAATTATAAACATAAAAAAATCATACATTTTTGGATGGGGGGTGGCAGAATAATGGACGTATACGAGTATGTTTTTGAAATGTATATAATTTGAAATCTTCATAAACACTGCGCAACATTTTTCCAAAAATAGTAGGTACCTATATCTCAATTTTTTTATATATATTTTTTCTGTTTTTTACTACAATAGTATTTTGATTTGTTATATTATTTGAAACGATTTTATTCTTCGTTGATTAATTATAAAAGTATACATCAAAGGTCGAACTGATTAATTTAAAATGCTTTTGCAAAATATTTGTGTTTATTTTTTTATTTTTTTAATTTTATTTTATTGAAACTTTGTATAAACAATTAGTCTCGGCAATTATAAATTATTAACGCAATTGTAGCAAGGATAACAGTGGGATTGAGAAATAAGAATGTGGTAGGAATCGAGAGGAATATTTAGAGAGTGGAGAATGGAAAAAAGATATAGGTGCTCTGCGTGCAGGGCAATTAAACAGAACATGATTTATGTTACAGATGACTGGAGCATGGTCAAGGTGCAGAGAGGGGAGTCATTAAGAGATAATTTAAAGGAGTGTGAAGGAAGAAGGGTGTGACCAAAGTGGAAACGGGAAAATGAGCTGATTGCTTTGCAAGATAGTTTTAAATTGTAGAATCATGACTTAGATAGTATTGTAGGGTTTAATTTTCTGTACCATGTGGCAAAGTGAGGTGGAAGATTATTGAAAGTCAGACCATAGGTGGTGAATTCAAGATTTTACTATTATAGATATTTTTGGACTTCTTTTATAAGCTTTTCGGTGGAGTACATTTTCATATTTTGGTTTTGTCAACTCTAAAAATAAAAACGTAATTGATAAATCATCGGTTACAACTTTTTGTTTTAGATTTAAGCAGCGTGTCGGTAGACTTGTTTTTATTGACAGTATCAGTCGTACTTGTACCTCCAGTGAGAGTATCGATCTTTGACGTTGTGGATGAATTAGAAACATGATCGTTTACCGATAGTTTGTTAGGCTTCTAAGTTCTAAACATGATGGCGATTCGTAATACCCAGCCATTCTGAACTAGATTAAACTAGATAATTTATTAAGTCTATGTAAATCTTCTTCGTTCTTTCGGTATTTCCGTGGAGTTGTTTTTACTTGAATATGGTCTTCAATCCTTTGTCTACAAACGCATATCGCTAGAAAAGTATTTTTAATAAATCTTGTTTCTTTGACGTGAAGATTTTCATATGTTTCAACAGTCCCTCCGAAATCAGAATCATAGTTGACATGGTTTTAAGCATATTTTCAAACTTTTCGGATGGTTCCATTAATCGGTGTCTGATCGTGATAATGCGTTTTTGCCTTAGCCCCCCAAAATCGAAACTTTGTTAGAAACGTTATTCGTTGTTTTTATAATTATTTTTTTGAAAACCGTAAAATAAGAAATAATAAAAAATTATTTACAATAGCATTAAAAATACCAATTAGTTCGACTATTTGTGAAAGAAGTTTCAATGCAATGATAAAAATAAAAACTTGCTAAGGACATCGTTGATTTAAGATAGGTTTAGCAATCTATCAATACTATATATTGAAAAAGTTATATCGAAAAATATAAAAATCGATGATATTTTGAATATCTTTGCTGATACAAATAGATATTTGTCATTAAAATAAAATATTAATTATTTTTAAATATATGTTATTTAGTGTTTTTGTAATACAATTTAAACCTATCTATATTTTTAATAGTAATAAGTTTTACTTGTGCATGGGTAGGGGGTATGGGGGCGAAGACCCTGCGGGTTATTTTACATTGAATTATTATACCCCCCCCCCCCCCAAAAAAAAAATTCAACCAAATATCCGCCTATGTTATAATTCCAAGATTGCTAACCTGGAAAAATTCAGCAATAGATTTCTAAATAAAAACTAATTTTTGTAATTATTAAATCATATATTTTAGAAACCATGTTATAGTAGTGTTTAAAATGATGTGTTAATGAAATAGAAAACAGGTAATGTTAATGTAAAGTTTAAAAGTAACAACAAATAAAATCCTATTTATATGTAATATAATTTATAATTATAATTTAATCAACAAAAAAAAGTTCAGTTAAATTTCTAACACGCGAGGCATATATAATCAAAACAAACATTTTAATTTGACACGTGGTTATCAAAAGGTTTACCATCCCTGATTTAAACATTATTAAGTAGGTACCTACTAGATTCCTGTATAAATTATTATCTATTTGTATTATTATGGTATAGAACTATAGAAAATAACTACCTATTTAATAGTGAAGTGACTATAATAATTATTGTGTAATAATGCACATGTTTTTATTTTTATATAATGAACTGACTGTACTGTGCTTATCTTTTTAATTGCTGCTGGTTAAATTCTTACAATTAATTATCAATTCTGTAAGTTGCATTGTAATAATACCAATAAAGTAATAATTTTATATTTAAATTATTTGCATTGGGTATAATTTACAAGTTGTAATTTTATTTAATAATCACTTAATAGCACCTCTACATTATACAAATTTAATAATACATACAAAAATGTCAAAAATCGTTTCAGTTGGTTCATGTAGCACTGATTTGTTTTTGTAAGTATCTATTTATTTTCTCCACTACTTATACTTGTTTAAAATTCTCTTTTTAATTAGCATAACTAAATGTTGGTGCCTTATTATAAAAATTATTATTATAAATTAATGTCTAATTTCAATATCTGTACGTTGATACATTAATTAACAAGTAAAAAGTTATAATTATAGACATTAAGATGTTACAAATATTATAAGATCATTACTGGCTAAATATTTGTTTAATATGTACAGGGGAAAAAATAAATAAAGTAATGTCTGCATACAAAAATGATAAATTTTTATGCTCAAAAGTTATATTAATTGTTTCAATTAATTTTATTTATTATATTACACCTGATATTTTATACTTAATTATCTACTTGTCCTCTCAATTTATGTGCAATAAATTCTGTTTTTAATTGATATTTTTAGTAAATTATGATAATTTTCAATGGATTAAAATTATTAAAAATATATTGTGTTCAATTTAATTTATATTGGTTATAAAATTTATAAAATTAAACTAATGTTTTTGGAATCAAAAATAAATATAAATTTAATATTTTGATTCTAAGGTTATATTCTAAGGATAGTTATAGATACATATATATTACTTATTTTATTTACAGTTATACATCAAAATTGCCTAGCCCTGGACAGACCATACACGGAACACAATTTTCTATAGATTTTGGTGGTAAAGGAGCAAATCAATGTATCGCTGCTCAGAAACTTGGAGCTAATACTGTATTTGTTGGCTGTGTAAGATATTTAGATATCATAATAAAATGTATTTAGTTTTACAACACATCTATGAATAACATATTTGTTTTTAATTTTTTCTTTTTAGGTTGGGTCTGATGTTTTTGGTAAAGATATATTAAATAATTTTAAACAATGTGGTGTTAACACTCAATATATTATAACAAAAAAATCTATTGAAACAGGAGTAGCTCAAATTAATGTAACTGATAATGGTGATACATTTGATAGTCACTTATTCTTAATATTTTATTTATGTATTAAATATATTTGTTTTTGTAGGAGAAAACTATATAATCATTGTGGTTGGAGCTAATGGTACATTAGGAAAAGAAGATGTGGATAAAGCATTTAATTTATTAGTGAATGAATCTAGTGCTGTTCTTTTTCAGTTTGAAACCCCAATAGAAACAACTGAGTATTTGCTAAAAAAACTTTCAGTGGCAAACAGTAAATGTAAATAAAATTAATGTTATTTTTTTATTTATATGTTTTATCAAATATGTTAATCTGGCAATATATATGATTGATAATAGATTGAGCAATGAAAACATTTAACTTTTGTATTTATTCATAAGTAAAAATATTTGATAATTTAAAAATGGTACCAACGCAAATATTATATTTCTCAAAATATAAATCTAATGAACTATATTTAAAATTGTATATATAAACAATATATAGTACTTAATATATATACTTAAACACAATCAAACTAAATTAATTCACTTTTTTATTACATTAAAAACTATAAGATAAAATTGAAATAATAATTTATTTACTTATAAAACTATTATAATACCTTTAATCATGTACAATTATACACTGAATAAATAGATAAAATACTTGGGTTTTATTTATTTTTTGTTTTTTTCTATATCTTTTTTGAAAGATATGATTTTAACACATATAATCTATTATTTTACAATTGGCTGTATATAATAATTACCTTCTTAATTCAATGTTAATTTTTTTTTTTTTTTTTGTATAGAACATTATTTTTATATTTTGTTATGTTATTTTAATTTTTGAAATAACATAAAATTCATTTTTCAGGTCTTAAAATTGTAAATGGTGCCCCAGCTATCTCAAGTTCTCATGAAAATATACTTCTATTGGCTGATATATTTTGTGTTAATGAATCTGAAGCAGAAGTTTATACTAATAATGTAATAAAAATTAATAGTATTGAAACAGCAAATCAGGTTTTATCATTAATTTTAAAACAAGGGTGTAAACTTGTAATTATTACGTTAGGACCTCTAGGTGCTATATTTGCATCTAAAGATGAACCAGAGTCTCAATGGGTTAAAGTACCAAAAATTGAGAATCCTGTTGATACCACAGTAAGTCAAAATTTTTAAATACAAATATATTAAGTTATTAACCTATTTTATTTTCAATGTATTATTCCAGGGTGCTGGTGATGCCTTTTTAGGAGCATTGGCTTATTTTATTGTTCATAAGCCAAATTTGACTTTATATGAACAAATTAGAAGATCATGTGTTGTAGCTACAAAGACGGTACAGTCCAAAGGAACTCAAAAAAGTTTTCCTTTAAGAAATGATTTACCTGAAGAAATTTTTAATTAAAATATACTATATGTATACAGTATGTACAGTACATGAAATTGATAATCATTATTTATTAAATTATCTGTTAATTAAAATGTAACTAGTATACCCATTGCGAAAATTTAAAATATATCAATACATAAACACATTTTAACAAATCAATAAATTTGTATTATATCGAAAATTGAAAGACGTATCGAAATGACAGAGAGTGTTTATTAAAATATATGTTCCGCAGCATTAGGATAGACTATGTATGAGAGGATGCGATTATTACATAAAATCATTTTACAGTTCTTCCTTCCAAACAATATTAGCTAATATAAGGAATAATATTAGTATTGTTTGTGAGTTGTTTGTTGTTATATCATTGGGTAAAAGCCAATGAGAATGCAGTATTTGGAAAAAATTGAAAGTTGAATGTGTAAACATAACTTTCCTCAAACTCAACGAATTTAAGCAGTTTATTAGCTTTAAAGAAAGAACTTGATCCATTGAGTGATCTTAGACTTGTGTCAACAGCCTACATTGATTAGAATTCTAGTTATAGAGATTTGAATGAAGAAAAATATTGAAAAAATTAAATGTAAAGATTGGTCTTGCATAAATTTTCTCAAACTCAACAAATTTAAGCAATTAATAGTTTAAAAGAAAGAGCTTAATCCACTGAGTGTTCTGAGAGTGAATTATCAAGATCCATTTATTAGAAGAGGAGCTATGAGAATTTGAATGTTGCTTAAGTGAATATGTTCCATAAGAAATGTAAAGTGGGAGTTGAGTAAATTTCAATGATTACTGACATATCTATATCTAAATAACTCTCATTTAAAAAAAAAAAAAATAAGAAAAACAGCCGGATAGAACAGCCAGACTGACTGACTGACTGACTGACTGACATTAGTTTTCATACATTTATTTAATATATAAGATAGTATAAAAAGATACAAAATTTAACAAACAGATATGCATTTTTCATTAATCATTACTTGTTAAATAAACTAGTTCATCTTAGTTAAAATAATTAGTCAATACTTTATTATATTAAAATATTGTCAAATAATAAATAATTAAATTTTATGGTATAGATATTCGACTTACTTTGTGTACACTTATTTTTTATAAATAAAATACTTTTTTTTTTTTTAAAAATGATGGTTATACTAACAGTTATAAGCAGGGTTTAGTGGTAAAAAAGGATAAGGAGGAATTCAATCCACAAATCATTCTCAACTTTCCATATAGTCTCATTACTAGGTAGGTAATTAATTATAAATTGTTATATATATTACGAGGTGTTGCTAGTGAATAATTTTTCCCACAAACTATTCATGTACTGTAAAAATGTATATACTTGTAAATTACTTACTTATGGTTTTAAATAAAAAATTGTGAATATCTTTTAATAAAATTAAAATAAATTATTAAACGTATATATAAGTATATATTACTACAGTGGTAGCCAAACTACGGCCAGCTATGATTTAATATCTGGCTTGCAAAAGTATTCTTCATTACAACACTTATTTGTGCAACTATAAAATTTTACAATTACGTAAAAAAAAAAAATTGAAAAATTAAAAAAATACATTTTTTTATGGCCTGCGGTAAAAAATTTGTTTTGTGTGGCCCTAGGTAAAAAAAAGTTTGGCCACCACTGTATTACTATATAATTTATATTTAATATTAATTTCATTGGTAGAACACTGTTTATGTATTATCTAGTGACATCAACTAAAATGCATAGCCAATTTTTCATGTTTTAATGTGTAAATTATTTTTAACAAACAGTTGAGCGGTTTCAGTAAACTTTTCAGAGAAATGTTAAAAGGGATGTTTTATAAGCACTGTGAGTGGTAGAAGAACTGAGTCCCCTTGTGCCCTCTCCCACTTTAAGCCATGGTTATAAGTATATTTTATAAATATGTAAATTATTTTCAAATTTAATTAATTTTTAATATATTTTGGTTTAATTTAATTAAAAACATTTGAAAATACCAGGAAATTTATTTTTTAAATTTTATTTTATTACTTAGTAATGAAATTTTTTCATTATTTTGAATAAGAATTGGTAATTTTATATATAACATATTTTAATACATTTACACTGCATTTTTTTTTTTTTTTTTTTTTGTAGTATTAGTAATATTATATGAAATATATAGCATAAGTGTTATAAGATATTATCAATATTATAATATGTGATATTATTGTGATATCACAAGTTATGCAATATACATGTAAAATATATTTAGGTATCAAATAAATACATACATTTGAAGACACATATTAATTATTAATAAACAATAAAGAAAATTAAAAATGAATAGAGTAAATAATTATTTATTAATTTAATTTAAATAAAATATTGTAAAATATTATTGGTTTTTTAAATCATATATTTACAATCTTATGGTTTTAAATTAATATACATTAACATTATATGTAAATTAGTAATATATATATTAGAATTATAACCAAGAATTTCATTAAGAATTTTAACCCAATAAATATAAAGAAATATAAAATTATATAACCAGTTATAAGTCATTTGCATTTTTGTTTAATGTTCATTGACATAATTTCATTAAGCCGAATATTTTTGGCTTTCAATGATTCAAACTCTTTTATTAGTTCTATCAGTTCCATATTTTGGTCCTTAAAAATGAAAACATTTTAGTTATAAGTAATAAAATTAAAAATTGTAAAATAATTTACCTTTAACATAGTTGAATCATTATCGTCTTCAATTAGCTTCTTTAGTTCAATTAATTTTTTTTCTTTTTGTAAAAATGAATCAAAATTGCTTTCATAAAATTCAAATAAAACTTTTTTCATATTTGTCACTGTGAAAAAAAAGTGAAATTTAATTGTTATAATTAGTATTTGATTTAAACTTATTCTGACTCGACATAATTTGTATGTGAGATTATGAATTTTTTACATTTTTTCTTAGTATGTGGAAAGTTTTGTCAACATTTTAAATTTAAATGTTTGTAAATAAAAATAATTTTCATTAAAAATATTAAAGTAATATTTTTCTACACAATAAAGAATCGTATGATTAACATTATATTACATTTTTAAGTAATATAAGTAAATATGAACATTTAATGTCTCTAGAGAATTACCATTAATTAAAAATTTTTTTTAAATATTTTTACTGAGCATTGATTATATAATTATATTGTATTGATGTATAATCAATGGTATTGAGTAAAAGTATTTTAAATTTCATTAGGAGTTATAAATTATCATTATTTACCACATTTTTTGTTTTCTGAGTTTGGTTTAGTTTCATGTTTTCTTTTTAATTCTAAGATAGCAACATCCTTTAATAACAAAATAATTAATATAATAGTTTTGTAAATTATTTAATACAAATTTTAACAGATAATGGTAAAAGTGTATAAATTGTTTTAATTATGTTAGTGGTAAAATGATCAAAATACCTTTTTGACAAGTCCTATAGAATTTTGCAAATCTTCAGTTTCGTCTATGAATATACAATAAAAAAAAAAAATGTATTTATATAAATATGATTTTAAATATAAAAAAAATTAATTTATAATAAATATATTTATGTTCCATATTCATATAATTTAGCAAAATGGACAATTTTTATTAATGGTTTTGGGAGGTTAAGACATATTATTATTTTATTTATACATTTATGATTTTTTATACTAAAGTTGAACCAACAAATAAGTATTTATATTCTTAATCAATTTATATTTTACTTCTCGTTTAAATTAAATGTTGGCTCATATACTTAAACTAATAATTATAACATAATAAAATATTGTGTTACTGTTAACCAATATCTTAACTCAGCATTTCCCAAACTGTGGTCCGCAGACCCCTAAGGGTTGCACGTTTACCTTAGGGATCCACCAACGTAAGTTAAAAATACATAAAGTACCAATTTATAAAAACGAAAATACTGATGTAATATTCATATTACATGGGAAATACTATTGATAATAAATACATTGTCGAAATAGTTATTATTGAAAAGCAATTAAAATTAGATACAGACTGTGATCACGTATTATCGTTATTTATCATAAAAATAGGTGCATTTAGTTCGGAAAATAAAGTAATCAATTTAGAATTATTGTTTATTAATGTTTTTAATTTTTATTTCTATTAAGGGGTATGCTATCATTTTTATTATCTCTTAGGGGTCCAGCAGAAAATTTTTTTTAAAAAAGTCGTCTTAACTCACTTGTTATATTTGTAGTAATTTGCCCAATTTTACTTGAGTTGCATGTCACCGTTTCTGATAATTTGAGGTATTCTTTTAACATATCTCTATATTTTTCTGCATCAAGAATTTCCGATTTTACCTCAGTTAAATATTTTTTTTTCTCAAAAATATCTTGTGTTTTGTGAAAAATAAACTAGGAATATAAAATAAAACATGAATTCTATGATTATCATATTATAATATCTGCTATATTGAAATATATACAATTATAACTTCGTAACATTAATTTATATTATAATATACTTACAGATTCATTACGAGGAAATGCTTCCCTATCTATTTCAATATTTTCTTGCTTAGCCATTTATTTAATAGTAAATATAACCAGTGCTTTCGATTTGAAAGTCGTGAGCATCGGCATGGGATCGTGGCATAGGGCAGTGGTTCGTTACAGCTGTATTTGGTACAATGTAACAATTACATAGATGGAACGAGTAGGAATGAATACATTAATCGTTCCATTGGAACATTCGGTACAAATTATCAAACTACAAAATGTTCCCCATCAGGCGATACTGATACCAACACCGATTACCGAAAGTACCAACGGAACAAACGTGGAACGATCTATGTACTAGTGTTGAGTCGTTACCGATGTATTCGGTACAACGTAACAATTTGTAGTACACAAACCGATTAGCTACATGGTGGGGTTTAGCTTACGTTATAAACTGCGACGAAACGACGCGTCGTGACATTGTTGTTGTATGGAGCATATGTTAAATAATTTAAGTCTCCCCAGAATATTTACTATGAGCCACTACTGAAAGATAGACGAAAATTGTTTACGGTATTGTGAATCACATACATACGTAGCTTTCAAAAAATGGCGCGCTACCAGTGGTAACAATCAGAGGTGACAGTTACGGACTAGGTTTTAGAAGATAACCTTACCTAAGACCGTGGTTACGGTTAAGATATTAATCTTTTTTCTATGAGATCAAAAAAGCCAAAGAGAATCGTAGAAATATATCGAACCTCTTTGGTAGCTGCGAACACGTTACATCGCAAATGATGATTCAGAATGCCGTGAGTTCTGATTGCTCAGCGGGCACCCCCCACCCGGATTCACACTGACTGACTGTTTCGCCGCGCCAACACCGCCTCTCAACATCGCGTAAACGTCCTCGCTCCCCGTTCATTTTCATTTCGTACGGCATCAGCGCTACTTTGCGTGCCGTATAAAGACGTTTAAAGCTAACCCGTCCGTTCGAATTCGTCTAGGAAACCGTCTGCTGTCTGCGTATACACTTCGCAATCATGTCTAGTGAGTATAATGGCAACGATTTTTTTACTTTGTTCCATCATTACTTGTTGTTTGGCGTGTATTATTCCTTACGCGTTTTCCATGGTGCGATGCCGGACCGAAACCTTCACTGTGCACCCGTTCGAAAACACTGTCCTCGTGACGCGGCCATCGTCGAGATCACGTTCTCACTGACTGTCGTTCGCCTTCTCGGTCTTCAATCGCCGGCTTATATTCGACGGGCTCGTGCGCTCTGTAACACAGCTCCATTCCGCTGTTCACGTGTTTAGCATGCATCGCCCGATTTCGTTTTATCACCCCGTTCGATGATAACGGGTCAATGGCTTCTACCCAGGGTTTTCTCGCGTTTCACACGAATCATGGTGTCCTTTGCCGCGTCTTCAATGCTGTCACTGACACATTTCTTTTTTTTTGTTGGCCTCTGGACATACGGCACGCGCAAAGTGAAGTCCTCATCCCGAAAGTTCGATTTCTGACCATTGTCATCTCATCAACTGGTCAAATCGCTCGATATTTCGAATTTGGGTGTATCCCCCGCTGGTCTACTATCCATTATTGACTGAAACAGTTTATGATGGTTAAATAGTTTTTTTCATTTGTTTGCAGTTTAATATATTTTGATTTTTGATTTTTCTCATCTAGTCATTGCTCACAGTGTCTGTGATATAATTTTATTGTATCTCAAATGTTCCATCTATTATTTGGATTATTATTTTCTCTATTAAAATAATTATTTTTTATTATTTAAGTTCTATATTTTTATTATATTGCTTAACTTTATTTTTGACTTGGTGATTAGTAATTACAATTCTAGGAAAACCATTTACATTATAGCAATTCTTATATCTTTCCTATTTTTATCTCAAAATATACATTTTTTAATATTTACATACCTAAATTTTTTTATTCATTAAACATTGAATTTTCTTCATTTTAAATAAGTATAATGTATTGAGTTTTAAATAATAACCTCAAATTAGTTAAAGTAAAGAGTTATTTATTTTTAACTTATTATATTTGAATTTTTTTCATTTCTGTCTATTTTCTTTATAGACTTATGAAGATTTTTCGATATGTTATATATATTTTATTAGGTATAAATATTTTCATTCCAATTATATTTACTAGTAATTCAAATTTTATCATATAAATTAAAAATATGGTCAACTTAATACTTTTATGTTAGTATTCATTTGGAAATAACAATTTTATTTTTGTGTTTAAATATCTAAAATTGTAAGTTTTTTTATTAGTAATTACTATGGACTTATTGATTTAATCTTAGTGTACATTGAAGCTGTTTAATAAATATATATATATATCCAATGATATTATCAAATCCATAAAAAAATATTCATTTGATTATCTAAGTTGAATTGTACAACTGTTTCTTTTTAAAATTTGATTCAGTTATTTATTATAAATTTGACAAAGAACTACATTTTTGAACTGAAAACTTACTATTAAATGTTTTATTTTTATTTTTTGATTTTCTTATAATTTTCTTATTTTATGAGCTATGTATATATTATTAAAATATTATCAATGGTAAATATTCAGTTAAAATATTTAAATATTTATTATCTTCCTAAAAGCACCAAATTGTATTTATATTATTATTTTGGCCGTCAAATGGAAGTAAATTGAAGTATGACTTTTTTTAGTGAGGGACCTATCTATTGAAGAGTCCATCAATCCGGAATGTTACATAAATTTTAACGATAAAGATAAATTTAGTAAATAATAATTGATAATTCCTAGTTATAATGAATAATTAAATTTAAATTTGCCGGTTTTACTCATAGATTTCGCTAGAGATATAAATACATTTCTATGATTTGAAATCTATGTCATATTTTTCTATTGACATTAACCTTAAAAATTGCATTCGGCCAAAATTATATCATCATAGTTGTTTTTTCTTCAGTGAATATGTCGAGTTTCATTCCAAATAAATTGCATTTACGGCATTCGTTGCTTTTTCTTTTTCATCAAAAGAAAAAAGCAGCTGAAGCTTATTGGTTGCTGGTTGAAACTTATGGCGAACATGCTCCAGTGATAAGAACTTGTGAGACATGGTTTCATCAATTTAAAAGTAGGGATTTTGATTTAACGGTCAATGAACACCTGGGTGCAGCGAAAAAGTTTGAAAACGAGGAATTGCAGGTGTTATTGGATGAAGACCCAACCCAATCGCAACAAAAATTGGCACAAACACTAAATGTGACCAGAGGAGCGATTTGCCAATAATTGAAAGTCATGGGAAAAATCCAAAAGTATGGAAAATCGAAAAACCATTTCTGAAATGTTGTTTCAACGGTTTGAAAGGAAATCTTTTCTTCATCAAATTATTACGGGGGACGAAAAATGGATTTATTTTGAGAACCCGAAGCGGAAAAAATCCTGGCTTTCATATGGTGAGGCCGGCCCATCAACTCCAAGATCAAATCGCTTTGGCCGTAAGACAATGTGTTTGGTGGGACCAGAGTGGTGTGGTGTACTTTGAGTTACTTAAACCTGGTGAGATGGTGAATACCGATAGCTAACGACAACAATTAATTAATTTGAATCGTGCATTAATCGAAAAAAAGCCAAAATAGACCCGAAGACATGGCAAAATTATCCTACATCATGATAACGCACCATCTTATACCTCTAAAGTGGTGAAGGACACATTAAAATCATTGAATTGGGAAATATTATCGCACCCGTCGTATTCTCCAGACCTTGCCCCATCTGGCTATCATCTTTTCGCATCGATGGGACACTCCCTCGCAAAGCAGCGCTCCGCCAAATTTGAAGATGTCGAAAAATGGTTCGTCAAATGGTTGCCTCGAAAGAGATAATGTTTTTTTGGAATGGTATCCATGATTTGCCTAGATGATGGGCAAAATGTGTAAAATCAAATGGTCAATATTTTGAATAAAAAAATTTTAAGATTCCCTTGAGAATTAAATGTTTTCTTCATTGTAAAAATCGGCAAATTTCAACTAACACCTCTGGTATAAATATTAATATCTTCCTAAAAGCACCAAATTGTATTTATATTATTATTTTGGCCGTCAAATGGAAGTAAATTAAAGTATGACTTTCTTTAGTGAGGGATCCATCTATTTTGATGAGTCCATCAATCCGGAATGTTACATAAATTGTAACTTAATAAAAATAATTAGTCATTGTAAATTCATAGCTATAATAAAATCCTAATATCTTCCTAAAAGCACCAAATTATATTAATATTATTATTTTGGCCGTCAAATGGAAGTAAATTAAAATAAACTTTCTTTGTGAGGAATTTATCCATTCTGATGAGTTCATCAATCCGGAATGTTACATATATTGCTAAATTGTTACCCATATTAAATGTAGGATATTATATATTATTGTTTAACTATCTCGTATATTTGATTTTTTAGGTGTCTAGATGTTTTAAGGGGTAATTTGAATTTATTTAATTTAATACAAATAAAAAAAGAATATTACAATGATTATATACAAAATTAAGAATAAAATTGTTACAATTCTCCGAACAGTAAAGTCAAGTGACATCTGAACTGATTCGAACTTTATTACTTTGTTCACCATTGGCATCGCGAAAAATTGGTTAATCTGTCATGTCAAGGTCGCCAGAAACTATCGCGATAGTTTTACATATTTATTCTTAGTGACTATTAATGCATCATTGATATTGTTATGTATAGTGTTACATTATTTAATAACCCTATTATACTTTATTATTAGTATTTCATCAGCCTTAATAAATTTTTCAACACTAACTGTTATTTTTGCAAATTTCTTAAATTAATTAATACATAACCTATTTGAATGATTTTTCCTATGATATCTGCTTACTATTTTATTAAACTATCTGCAGGCAAAAAGAATAAAAAGCAGAAATGGATGCCAATTGAAACTGAAGTCATCTCAATCGCTAGTGGTACATGCTGGGCTGATGAAGTAGAGAAAGAACAAAATGGTAATAATTTTGTGTGAATCAAGTATTTATTTATAAATGCATTATTACTTAAAAATACGCCTTATGATGAATGTTTTGGATGTTTTGTTTGGTCATTAATAGCTATCAGTCAACAAGAAACTTGCTTCAGGGGTTTACACACTGAGTACTTTTGTTACTTAAACAACCTCGGGAAGGTCTGAGATATATTCACTAACCTTCTAGCCGGAGGCCTTCTTGATAAAGTTGGGCAGGAGAACCAGAAATTGGTCCAGTCTTTAGATTTTTAAGTCTGAGATGCCATAGGTTGAGACTATAATCTGAAGTACTGTTGGAACCTCCTGTGAATCGCATTTTTAGTTCAATTTGCAAGGTTCTAGCTATGCTAGTATAACTCAATTCAGACTAATCTCTTGTTGACTGATTTACCTCAAAACCTGAAGGCTCTTGTTGTACTTATTATTTTGATTATTTCATTCACATTTATATAAGTTCAATTAATATTTTATTTAATATCTTTTATAACAATTTTTTTTTAGCATTTGGTGGTTTTGGATTCGAACCTAAACCATTAAACCTTCCTAAGGCACCAAGAGCAGCTTGTGAATCTATTATTGATGAAAGCACTGTACCTCAGGATGGACCATTCTTGGTTCATATGTCAAATTTACAATTTGAAATTGATGAAGATGATATCACAACTTATTTTAAAGGACTTAAAGTAAACTTAATTTTTAGTTTTCAATTCATTTTCTTTAAAATTATTTTTGAAATAAAATACAAGACTAATATGTTCAATTCCTTATATTTTATACGATTATGGTTAGATAACTGTTCTCTATTTTAATGAAATATTATGAAGTATTACCTGAATATATCTTATGTGTTACAATGAATGATTAAAATTTATATTTTATTACAACTTTGGATATATTTTAAATTGTTCTTTTTTGGCTACATATTTTTTAAAATTGAATTCAGTCTAGTATTAACTTTAAAGTTTGGTCAATTTTATAAAGTATTCTTTGATGTATTGATTACTCTAAAATATCCTGATAAATTATTTCTAAATAATAAAGTAAAAATAATACCAACTATCCGAAATTACTATAATTTTTTTTCAGTTAATACTTTTAGAAATAGTATCAAAAAAAATAATCAATATTGTGTAAATATTTAAAATACAATTTTAATTTTTGTATTATGGATAATTTACAAATTTATATTTAAATGCTTCTCTCAATTTTTTTACTTTTTAAAAATCTTTTAATTTTTATTTATCTTATGCATAGAGTTGATGATCTTGTTGTTGTCAATAAGAGTTTTGCAGAATCTATGCAAAATTAATATTTCTTTAGACACTATTTTCAGCTATTTTATGCTTTAAATGGTCGCAAAGTAAAAAACATATACTAAGTGAATAAATAACAAGTAAAATTGATTTTCAGTTTTTTTTATTCATGGCATGGGATATATATACTAGTCTAAGAATTGTTCTTCATTATACTAAGTTAATTATTTGTGGTTTTATAGTAAGGTTATTGGTTAACTAATTTTGATTTTGGTTGTGCACAAATATGATAATTCACTAATTTTTTTATAATATAGTTTAAATATAAATAAAATTAAGTCTATAGTTAGAATTTTTTTTTTTTTTTAATGTCTTGTTGATGAATCAATATAAGAACTCAATTTTAATGCATTTTGATAAATTTTATACTACTTACAAATCAAGTTATTTTTTTTTTTACATTTAACAACTTTAATTACTTGAAATTAACCTTTTAATTATTAGGTATAAATATATATTTTTATTTAAATTCTCAAAACTATTTTAATACTTAATGATGAATGAAAGGCGAATATGAACATGTGGAGTTCCTTTCACATGTTTGTGTTAGTTGAACCAATGTTATGTATGTATATAATACAATTCTGATACTTATTCTTCAAGAATAAATTGTATTGATTTAATTATTAATTTTTGTTTACTAGTTATAATTTATACATATATTAATTGTGTGCTGCCTTCATTGTATGTTTTTTTATTATTAGATTGCCAATATAAAATTACCCCGGAATGACAATGGACGTAATAAAGGATATGGTTATGTGGAGTTTGAAGAAAGGAAAGAATTAATTACTGCTCTTGGTATGGAGAACTTGGTAAGATTTATTTTTTAGAATTTAAAATATACAAATTTATGAACCAAAAAAGCACAAATGTCAAATGTAATACACATATATAGTTATATTGGTTGTTAACTAAAAGTAATGTATGTAATAAATATCTTCGTACTATAAACTAGGAATGATGCACAGTTTTATGATAGGCATACAATATTTTTTCACTATCCATTATTTAATAATGCAATATGGTACTGGACTTGGCTGTTTTTCATTGGTTATTTAATATATTTTTGTGACTAGCACAAACTAATAAATTATTTTTCAAATAATTTGTAAAGATTAATAACATATAAAATTTGCTCAACATAAAACTAAAATACAACTATTGACTTTATACCTCGTTTATTAGTAGAAAATTGATAGTTCTAATATTTTTTTTTTTAGGTAAGTGTATAAAAGATTTTTATTATAATAGCATTTTATATCTTGTTTGTATTATGTGTCGTGTTAATTTATTTTACGATGTATCTAATCTAGATCCGTGGACGTCGTGTGCGAGTTGAATTAGCTAGTGGTATGCAAGATTCTAGAAATGCTTTTCAGAGAGGTAGTCGTATGGGTATGGACTTCAAAAGTGATGAACCTGGTGATTGGCGATCAACTATCCGAAGTTCAACTACTGATGATAGAGGAGGTATTTATTTTGTATTTGAATGTATTTAATTTATTTTTTATTTTATTATAATTTCAGGGTTTACTAGGAGACGAGATGGTGGTGCTTTTGATAAAGACCATGATAGTGAAAGAGATAATGGTCCTTGGAGAGGGGCTAGGCGTAATGTTGATGATGATGTTCCTGTTGGTCGCAAACCATTTAGTGATCGTCGTTTTGATGATTCTGAGGGTGGTAGGAGACCATTTGGTGATCGTCGAACAGATGATTCGGATAGTGGAAGAAGACCATTTGGTGATCGACGTTATGATGATTCTGATAGTGGAAGGAGACCTTTTGGTGATCGCCGTGATGATGTTGAAGGAAGTCGTAAACCATTTGGTGAATCCAGGCGTGGTTTTGGTTTTAAACGAGATGATGATTTACCTGAAATAGGTAATTATTTTATTATAAATGCTTTTGATAAAGTTTTTATTTATTAATATAGTCTTCTTTTTGGATTTATCCAACTTTTAGGTTGTATCAGGTTTTATTTTTAGAATATATGAAATAATGAATACACATCATTGTTAAATACATACTGGTATAGGGATTATTCCATATATGGTGTCTCACCAAGTTCTAAACTTTGTGAGGTTACACTTTTAGTGGCATACTCTTTGATGAAGAGTATATACTAAATTATTCTAATTCTTATTATTTAGCCATAAATTTGTATTAACTATTTTTAACATATTTTAATTTTAGGGGGTGATAATACTTCAATACCACAAGAACGACCGAAGCTCATATTGAAACCAAAGACTGTTGATCCTAATGCACCAAAGACTGAAGCACCAAGTTATGTTGCTGCAGCATCTATATTTGGAGCAGCTAAACCAGTTGATACAGCATCAAAAGAGAGAGAAATTGAAGAAAAACTTTTAGCCAAACACGAAACAAAAGCTCACCCTTCATTATCTGCTGCTTCTTCATTAACCAATTTGAATGAAGTTTCTGATGACAAGTTAGTTAATATTTTTAATGTTTTATATATATATATATATATATATATCAAATTTAATATTTGGTTTATTTCAATTAATTTTCTTTGTGGATTAGGCTGATTTTTGATAGCCCAAAAATATTTCTGTATTTTTGGAATGAGCATTCAGCCAAAATTAAAAGAGCAATCATAGTACCAGCTAAATTACATTATTTGGTTGACCTCCAATTTGCTAAACAAAAAACAGAAAATTAAATTGTTATATTCAATATTATATTATTATTTATATTTATATTATATTATATTTATTAAATAACCAACAGAGATTTATCACTAAATATAATTAATAAGTATTAATTATAATAAATAAACATAAACAAGGGCAAAAACAATATAATCAATAGTTATAATTGATTTAAATAATTGATTTAACTTTTTTATTATTTAAATATAAGTTGAATTGTCGAACGTAAATGTCGTAAACACGTACTAATACGTAATACTATTATTAATTATTGCACATACAAGACCAATAATAGTTTTTATATAATGTACTCCTTACGCTCAATGTTTCATATATGGAACAATTATATTTATGTGAATTGCTATTTATAAACTCATTAGTAGGGAAGTCAATTTTATTATTTATAGACCAAAAGATGAGCTAACCATTGACGTTTTTTTTTTTTTTTTTTATATATTTAACCTACTTGATTTTATTTTAATTATTATAAAAAAGGAAAAAAAGAACATTTTGAAATTAGTACTTATGCCGTTCTGGAACAGGTTTATATCACCTACATACGATATAGGATAATGTTATCTGGAAATATAGCTAGCGACATCTATACTGATTCATTAAAACTACACATTACAATCATATCAACAAAACGAAAGCCAATATTAACAGTTTATTAATTGTTCCAAATGTGGAACATTGTGCAGTGTATTAATATTCCAACTTTTGAATTATGATTATAAAAATATTTATAAGTTAATTTGTCATTTGTTAATTAACATTGCACAATAATTTAGTTTTATGTAAACAAAAAAACTATTTATGTTTAATTTAAATCATTAATAAACAGCACTAATTGTATATTATATTTTATATTGCTAGGAGTCAAGAAGAGACAGAAGTAGTTGTCAAGCCATCTCAGCCCAAGCCAGTTGAAACATGGAGGCGAAGAAGCCCACGGCGTCAAAATGATGATGATTGTCCACCACGAAGAAGGACTTCTCCTGAACGCAATCCAAGATATGAAGAAGCTCCTCCTCCACGAATAAATGCATGGGAAAAACATTCTTTGAATAAAGAATTAGTATCATCTGATGATAATGTGTGCAACGGAACAATTCCACCACCACCTGTGTAATATATATTTTATAAAATTATAAATCATTAACATCTTAATTATAATTTTGTGATATTTAATTTTTTTTTTTTTTTTTTAAGCGAGGAGCAAAATGATACTCCTAAACTTAATGTTTACATTCCACCAAATCTTCGTAAAAAAATTCCGGATGAAGAAGCTGTTCCAGATAGAGCAGCTGACGGTTCAGAAATTGTTGAATCTGTTGTCATAGAAGCTCCCATTAATGATGTAAGAACTGATCCTGATGGTCAGTCAAGTGAACCTGATGTAGCAAAAGATCTACCAGTCATTGATGTTGCCAAAGATCAATCTGTTGCTGAAACAGATGTAGACAAAAATGATTCTGGGTTTATTGAATGTGGTATGTATATTTTTGACTAAAAAATTTTGTTTTAAAAAAAGTTAATATACATGTAATATTGATTACTCCTAATTTGTAGATAAATCAAAAAAGAAGCCTAAAGTTGCTAAAAAAGTAGTACCAGAAATAGAAGTAAAGAAGAAGTAAGTTTATTTTATTTTCTTAAGTTTTACTGTCATTGTTGATTAATTTTTTTATTTACAGAGATATTATTGTAACTAAAGAGCAAAAAAAATCTGTAAGTATAATATCATATATTATTCTTTAAATTACTAGTTCTTAACCTTATATGACATGCACACAATTTTAAAATTATTTTAATAGCTATGGATTTCCAAATTTTTCATAAATTAAATTCATATAGGGGAGACCTGGGTAAGTTAGCGACATTTAGATTTAAACATTTTTAAATAGCTCAATTTAAGAGATGGAGAGTTTATAATTTTCATTATATCTGCTAAAATATACATAGATATAAAGAAAAAAAAATAAAATGAATAAAAGAAAAAGATTTTCACTATACATATTTTTTATTTTTAAGTTTTTTTTTTTTAAATTTGCCATCTTACCCGGAAGATTGAGCAAGTTGACATAAGTTTGGGGTAAGTTACATCATACTTCATTATATAATGTACAGAGTCCATAAATGCTGAACTAAAAGTTTGAATTATGCCAAACTACTTATTAACCTCTTAAAATAATTAAATATTTTGCTAAATAAATACAAATTTACCTATCAACATAAATAAACTATTAAATAATAATCAATAAATATCTTTATTAAAAAAATAATATTATTTGATCATTCTAAATTAAATCTAAAATATTTTTTTATGTATAACAATTTTTACTTATTTATATAATAACAAATGAAATATCTACATTGATATACATAAATATCATGACTAAATAACAAAATAAATATAGGAATGATAAATTGACTAAGTGCTTTTAAATATATTAACAACCTAATTCAATGAAAAGTAAAAGCTTTATCATTTGTAGGTTTAACAACTAAAAAAAAAAATTTTAAATTATTTATAAATACCTAAGTGTAGGTAAACTTGAGTTTAAATTTCAGTCTTTGGTATTACAAAAATCACATGTAAATGATTTCCAGTCTTCAGTTCCAGCACATAGTTCATGAGTCCAACTTAAGTATTTAATGCATTTTATCAATTTTTCTCCTTTAGAATCATTTTTGTATGGTTCTGTACAAAAAATACTATCTTCGTGTTCATAGAATCTTGATCATCAATTTTCTACATAAACTGGTTCTTCATCTGATGATTCTTTTGCTTCTGATTTTGATTTAAACATTTTTTGAAAACAACTGGCTTATTTTTTTTAATTTTTACTACTTTGATTTGTTTTTTTTTTGTTGCTTTTTTTCTTCAAACATACCTTTTACAGGAGTGCTAATTAATTCAAAAGTAGGCAGTTAAGCTCTTAGTGCACTTTTGGAATATCTTGAACTACTGGTAGACGTGGAAGTTAAGTAGGTTTTGTAATTACATTTGTAATACCTGTTTCTATATGGCCTTTCTATATTGTGTATAAGTTTTTCCAACATTATTACCATTAGTAACTTCTACTCCCAATGGTCTGTCGGTTACAACAGCAGATTTAAAATATGAGTCAGATTATATGGCTCAATGCCAGTTCCTATAAATCCATGAACTGCATTGCCTATGGTTGTTGCCTTATTTATTGTATGATTGTCCAAATAATTTTCTAATATCTTATTCTATTATTGCTCTTCCTGGATGGCTGACTAAAAAATTATCACAAATTTGACTGTATAAAGTTTTCAATGGTCCAAACACTGCTACATCTAGAGGTTGTAATCAGTGTGTAGTATGAGGAAGGAACCCCAACATCGCACTATTATTTTCACGTAAAAATGTTATTGCTTCTAGAGATACGTGTGAAGCATGATTGTCTAGAATTAACAAAGTTATCATAAAGTTAAATCATAAAGGGTGGCACATATACACCAATTGTACTAATGCCACAAACCACAGTTATATTTTTCCTTCTTTCACCAGATACAATTTAGCAACTCTCCGTGAACCAGTTGGAGATAAGACCTTGGGAAGTTTATTTGGAACTGTAGAAATACCAGTTTCATTAATATTAAAAATTTGACTAGCTTCAAATTTATATTTTAAACTTAGTTTTTTCAGTAAACTAATATATGTTTCTATATTGGGTTTATTAAAAGACATGAGATGCCTAATCGATGTTGATTCTGAAATTCTTAAACTTAATTTATATTTAGAAATAAAATTTGTTAACCAGTCATCACCATCCTTTTTTATACTAGAATTGGAACTGTGTGAAATATTATGCTCCGCAAAGTTATAAACTAATTTCTTACACTGAATTGGAACCACAAACAAGAAATATTAGATGTTGGTGAGCTGTTTAGTATTTTGTGGAACAATTTTAATTTTTGATTAATCTTAATGAGTTATTAACAAATCGTCAACTTACCCAGGTCTTTCCTACTCTAAGAAAATTACTGTATACCTAGGGATCAGTGTCTCAAACCATAGGTTAAGATTCGTTAAATTTAAAGTCATTCAGTCAATATTTTGGTTTGTATAAAAGATTTGAGTGTAAAATTTTTATGAAAATAATTATCTTAATTATTTTTTAATGTTTTTTACGTCAAATACTTAAATGTTAGTACTGTAATAATATAAACTTTTCAAGTAAATTATTTGCATTTTTATGTTTTTCTACTATATAATTTGTCAACTTATTTTATATTTTTTTAGACTAGTAACAAATTTGCTGCACTTGATGATGGTTCCAATGAATAGAAAATATGTTTTATTTTATGTCATTCAAATTGTTATATATAAAAGATATACAGAGTGCTTGTACCTTTTAAGATTCCTAAACTGCCAACTTAATTCTTTCTTTATAATCTCTTTTTTTTCATTACATTAATGTTTGCTAGAAACGTAAAAATTGTAAATTTAATAGTGATATTTATGTGTTGTGGTGACATGATGTGTCTGTTGTACCGCATTCATCTTAATTTATAAATTATACAAATTAAGTTTTACATTTTCTAATTTTTTTTTCTAATTGCACAATAGGCTCTAACGCATTTTTTTGCGTTTTAAATTTTAATATATTGTCATTTTTTATATCTGCTATTCATAAGACTGCTTAAATTAAGTGATTTATTATTTTAATTAAATAACATGATTTATGATAACAGTTGCTCACTTATCATTTCTACTAGACTTTGACCAAGAATAAGTCACTGCCAAGTTCTGTTTTATAATCTTAATTTGTATACTTTGCTAAATTTTTATGTTTGCGAATTGTATCAACAGACTGCAAGACAATTATTGAATTTTTATCGATTTTCATTTTTAATATACATAAATATATATATGTATATGTATTAATTTGTATAATTTATTTATATTTACATATATGTAATGTGTATTAAATTAAACTTATATAATTTAGAAATAATATATGAATTACATATTATAATTATTGTATATTTTAACTTTCTCATTTAGGTCTTGTGATGTATTTTATTATTATTATTATAATAATAATATTTTTTGAAGTGTAAAATATTGACAGATTTTTAATTTATGCGTTAACTAATTTTGGTACCAATAGTTTCAAAATTAATTTTATACTCTTAATTTAATAAATTGTATTATGTAAATAATAATATTAAGTTGTATATTACTTAACACCATATTTATATTAAGTAGATAATTTCAATTTACTATAACCCTGAAGTATTCTACTTGGTGATAATGTAATTTTATCCAAACAGTTAGAATATTTAGTAATAGTTATTTTTCAATACTTAAATATCAGTTATTTTTATTATTGTTTTTGGTTTTATTTGTTGAACATAATGCATCCTGTTGTAATTTACATTACCAAGTACAATTGTTGTTTAGTTAATGTTTTTCAAAAAAATAAATATCCTTATTTAAATATAAAATTGTATAATTGGACAATACGTTAATTTATTTTTACTGCTCTTGTGATTTTTAAAGTAAAGAATTGGTTTGCTGATGTAAATATCATTTGATATTATTTCCTTGCTGAAATACATGTGATATAATTTATTAATTTTTTACGTTCATATATAGGAAAATTTTTTTTTTTGTCAGAAAAATGTCTTATCATATTTCAAATCAGAATTTTAAAAATTGTGCTGTCTTTTTGTCAAATTTTGGTTGTGCAATATAATTTATCTTGTGTGAATTAAATATAGTTTACATTTATTTCTAATTTTTATATACAATTGGTACTTCATGAAACGAAGTCGTGACATTAATAAATAATTTATCAAATGTATTGTTTAACTTATAATTTAGGCAATTATGTAACTAATTATTATTTATATTCTTGATGTATTAGAATGGTATTAGGTATTTATATACAATTTTTTAAGTACATTTATATAACAGACATTTTAGTGCTAGTTTTGTTCATTTTATTTTGTGGACGGAGTGTTTTAAAGTGTTGAAAAATATATTGTTTCTCTCTTTCATTTTATTGTTTTTATTTTAACCAAAAACTTATAATTTTTTAATAATTGTAGATAATGACTTAATCATAGGCAAAACTACAGGTCAGGCCGTGGCCTGACCTAATACTAACGAAAAATATGTATATTTTATGTATTTTAATAACTATTTAAGCTTAAATAATATATTTATACATATAAATGTATACGTTTGTACGTTTCATTTAATACTATAATGTAGTATATAGGTACAATTGGTATAAATAAGGATTATAATAGAACATAACAAGTCTATTCTATATATTCGAATAATCGGTTCTATTAGTAATTGTTTAATTTAGATATTTGACGTTTATTTTTATAATTATATTATAGGAAATAATAGTTAATTTTTCGTAATAATATTTTTTTTATGTTTCATTGGGCCTGACCTAATAAAAGTGTCTAGTTTTGCCTATGGACTTAAAAAGATTAAAGACTTAATGATATTTTAAATAAACTGAACATGTCTGATAAATTAAATTTTTAAATAATCATTCCCAGATGGTAAATATGTAATTATAATATTATAATTTAATTACAAATATTACAAATAAATAAATATACGAAATATTTTTTGACACATGTTTAACATAACTTATAATTGTGTTTAGATATTTTTATTGCATTACTTTATAATATTTTAATTTGAATAAAAAAAAGAAAGCTCATATATTTTAATTGATAATAATAATATGAAATGATTAGGTAATCTATGCAAGTTATTGTATTTTTATAACTAAATGCATTAATGGTTAATATAATTGTAAGAGGGCTATTCAGAAAGTAAGGAACATTTTGGAATATAAAAATACTAAGTACAAGATAAAACATTTTATTATACTCATGTGAAAAGAAATACTACTATTCTACAGTCACCATACAAATTCAGGCACTTCTCATAGCTGTGTACTAGCTTTGAAATTCCTGTTGTAGAATTCTACTGCCTGCGATCTTAGCCACTCAGTGATGTGTACCTAGAGCTCTTCCTAATCATCAAAATGTTGTGTTGCAAGCCAGTTATTCATTTTTGGGAACAAGTGATTATGAGGAAAAACTTGTATTACTTGTATACATTATATTACATTTCAGGTTATTATTATTGTCAAAGACCTTGAGTCTTTAAGTAAACAATAGCTTCTTAAATTAATTTGAACTTTTAAAAATTAAAGTAATAATTATTTGTGAATTATATATTTATGTGTCAGTTGTACAAATAAAACAAATGTAGTTTTATAATGGCTGGGATTTGCCATACAGTCTAATAATAAACTGACTTTCAACCATAGATTTTCTCAATACAATGCTTTTATATTGAAATAGGTTTGTAATTGGACACAATAATGAAATATTTACACAGCTTGATTAGAGGGAGCATCCAAAAAATGTTCTTCAAAGTTTAAATAATTTACATTTTTTCCCAGCTTTACAATGCTTTAGTTCCCATTTAACACATATACGAATATGCTTACATTTACAGACTGTAATTAATTCAAATACAAACAATATAAAACTAATTATCATTGTATTAAAATAAAAAATTAGAAATGGCACCTCTGATACTAACTTAATTTTTAAATAACAACTTAATCAATTTATTGATGGTAGTAGTAAAATATACATATAAAGTTAAATGTTATCAAATGTTTTAATATAATTATTATTAAAGAAAAAAAAAATTAAATTTCTTTTGACTTCAATTTAATAATTAACATATGATTATAAAACAGTAAGATTATACAAAAATGTATTGTATTGTCATTTTAACAATAAATAAGCTTTAATTTTAAATTAATGTTTTAATGATAAACCTTTATGTTTAAACTATACTCAATGTATAGGTATTTACATTTGATGTTAGGAATGTAAAATAATAATACAATTAAACAATCATTTATGATTTAAATAAAAACTAAATGGGTATTAGATTACTTTAATTTTTTGTTCAATATTTAAAATAAAAAAAAAAATATATTGATTTACTTTGAATACTATAGATTAGGCACTCAAAAGAATATTTAATACAAACATTTAAAATAATATTTATAAAAAAAAATATATATACATCCCTCCAAATGTAAAAATTAATAGTTATTGTCATCCTTTCGGTTGAAAAAATGTAGTAACATTTTAACTGTAATAGTAAATCGAATAATGATTTACACTTATATTTATATTTTTTAAATTTTGATTTTACATGAATATTTGACTTATAGCCTAGAAGATTTGGTACATTTAAAGCGGCAGATTATAGATTGCCATGGTATACTATTAGTAGTATGGTTTTTTATTAATTTCAATGCACAAGGGGTTGCAATTGTATGTTGTACAACTGAATACTCAGGTAATACAAACTCATAACAATGTATACAACGACCAACTACATCAAACTTTGGCCATAGAGTTCGAGGTATTTCTTGTCTCTTTAAATTTATACAATTTTCAACTACAGAAGCAAATGCTAAATGACTTAAGTCTTTTACAACCAACATTTGGGATTTCTTTATGTTACATGTATTAATATTTCGCATATATGCACTGATGTGGTCGAAATCTAATGATTCAGACTCCATAAACATATTGTTTGAAATATCAAGTTCTTTGAACGTTCTAATGAATAAACTATCAGGAAAGTACTTTAAGTTATTGTCAGCAACAAACAGAAATCGAAGTTTCTTGAGTTCACCCATGTATTGTGGTATATATGTCTGAAAAATAATAGAAGTTAATATAGATAATATAAATAAGTACTACAAACGATTTATTATTATAATTTATAATACATTATCATTTTAAATAAATGAATAATATGTATTATTGTGTATTCTTGTAATTAATATTTATTTGAAAATTTATAACAAAAGAGATTATACATAGAAAAATATTGAAAATAAAAAAAATATGTTATATTTTTTTTTTACTTGATTAAAATATAGTAATAATTTACCAACATTTAATCATAATAAAATACCAAATAAAGATTTATCGTAGAAAATAAGTTTAATGTAAAAAAGAATACGTAAGAAATATATGTACATATACATATCCAAAAATAAATAAGTATATTAATTATAATAAGTTTTTTTTTTTAGAGCAAAAAAAAAATGTATTTCATTGCAGTTAATAAATATAATAAGTATATTATACTAAATAAATAAATATTGCAAATTACCAACTTATTTTTGGCCACAGATAAAGTTTCTAGATTTTTAAGAAACTTGATTTCAAATGGCAAATTTTCTAATCCAATAGAATCCATTTTTAAAGTTTTTAATGTCCTATCAACTGTGTCTATGGTCATCCAATCCCAAAAGATATCTTGATCATGTCGTAATGTAGATAGAGTACTACCCGTCAAGCTGAGATATGAAATGGGTAAATGACCCATTTCTAGTGGTAACGATGACAAAGTACAGTTTTCCAATACAAGTTTATTCAATTGTTTCATGTTCATTATGCGCTTGTCAAAACGATCAATGGCCACAAACTCAAAAGTCCCAGGATCGAAACGGTTTACATTTTTTTTGGGAGGCATGATTTTGGGCATGTTACGCGTTCCTATGACAACTTTTTTGCCGCTAATGATGTCTTTGATTTGACGAAGAAACATTTTCAGCATCGTTTTGTCTTCGGTTTTCACCAAGATCAAGTGCATGGGCTGCTTGAACCGCAATCCTAGCTTGCCCTCCTCGATGAATTTGCAATGGAGTTGCTCCAGATCGGTCGCCTTGTAGCTAATGCAGTTTGGATACATGGAATTCTTCACGGACACGTAATAGTCATCGTTTACTTTTTTGCTCAGCAAACACGATCTGAGCGGACGGCTCCTCATTTGGCCGGACGGCGCGTTCAAGTCCTGGATCGTGACCATCCCTTGAATCAACATCGTGCCCGTTTCGACCGGTAAAATACACGTAGGCTGGTTGTCGAACGCAACCCGCAGAGTTTGAGTCGGAGCAAAACGTTCGGTAGCAATAATGGTTAACGCATTTCGAAATTCGAATAATCCGCTATCGCCGTGATAAAGTAAATTTACTCATGGTATCGCCGACGAACTGTTATCAGTCGTACAGTGGACGACAATGAATCGGTACGAGTGATTAGCATTTGTCCGAAAAATGTTAAAGATCTAAGAAATGATAAGGTCCGAAATTTGAAAAGCAGTACGGACTTAATGGAAAATTACTAAATCCATTTATATAATTTATATTGTTAAAAGTTATACAATAGGTTTGTTCGTTTAGGGAAAAAAGTGTACACTAATTAGTGTAGTGTCTGGATGAAGCGTAAGGGGAGTGATCAGATACCCGTTTTCAAAACAAACGGTTTTAGTGCAGATTAATCAGCTGATCTTTTTTATCAGTTTTAATAATTGATAATAATTTATTTCTATTAGTAGTAGAATTGAACAATAATTAAGTAAACTTTTTGTTTAATATTAAATATTAATAAGTAACTATTATAATATTAAAAGAAATAGAAATTCAACAATTGCACGTGATGGCGTCTTGTGACTCTTCCGATGACAACAGCGATGGTTGTTTAAATTATTTTTATATATTATTTATAATATATACAAATACAATAAAATATAATAATATAATATAAAAATATCATATATATAAATATATTTTATTATTTTTATAACTCGACCACAGTATTCGTGAGTCCAAATACTATAAATTTAATAACGATCAACGCTACACTATAAAAGCTGTGCCTACCATAGGCACACATTCAGTATGAAACTTGGGAGTGCTAAAATTATCCGTCCAAGACGAAGTCCAAACCACAAACTCCTTACAACAGTGGTTTCCAACATTTTTCATCTTATGTCCCATGGTAAATATTAAAAAATTTAATATATCATAATTATTTTTGTAATTTTATCATCACCATATTTTCTTACGATTTAATCCAAAATTACCTTCTCTCCCTTGGAAACCACTGTCCTACAATTACTTAGCATAAAATGTTTTAGTTTTACTATTTAATTATAATTGTAGCAATTTTCTATATTATAACTAAAAATATTATTAATAAACATCACATTTTTTATCAATAAGCAATCAAACCTGTAGACGGTAAACAAAACCAAAATCCTAAATAGTATTCTAGCAATAAACTTGATCATAATAACAGTATCACATGTATAGGTAACATAAACACAAATACCCAATATCATATGTATTCACATAGTATGAGTACTTTCGTGGGCATTAGTGCATTATCAATGCAAACTGGAGCTTATTCATTCTTATAAATGCAAAATATTCCTCTTTAAACAATATTTTTACCTTAAGATATACTGAAGGTACTAGTTTAGAACTAAGGGGTGCTAAGCACTCCCTGGCACCCCCGTATGTGCACTAATAGTGCATACACTTACACTTGGGTCAGTGTGAAAAAAGTGTACACTAATGTTACATTTTTTTTAAACAAACAGCATGTATGACTACATTTTTTCATAACAATCGCTTTGGTGTACACTTGTGAAAAAGTGTACACTTTTTGACAAAACGAACAAACCTAATATCCCTCGATTTTCAAAGCAGGTAAAATACTAATAGGTTATATTTTTTTCAACAAAAATTTTAATTCTTTTACATTTTTTTGTTTTTATATTTTCAAGATAACTTTTTATTCTTTTTTACTTTTTTTGTTTGTATATTTTCAACAAAAACGGACCAAATTCTAAACAACTATGGTAACATATAATTATTATGTATAAAATTAAATCTTGGAGATAATTTAAAGTTAAAACTTTGACTTGTATTATTTTAGTAACCAATGTAATTAGAGAAGGGTAATTTTCAATTCTCACTATTCTTCTTGATATCCATCCATCTAAAAACCATATCCATGTTATAAATCTGTGTAAGGTATCATGTATATTTATAAATATCTAGTTTTATTTAATATTTATAATATAATATCATATAATATAATATTTAATATAATTTTAGCTTTATATAATATTTAATTGTATGTAAATCTTTCGTAAAATATATTTGTGTTTCATAATTTTTTTAGTTTTCTATGTACTAGTATATAAATAGTATAAAATATTATGTTTTATTTTAAGTATGTACTGAAAAATAAGTGTCCAAACATTTATAATTATTTTATATAATTGATACTTGTTTATTTTATATGTAACTAATTATATTATTATTGTGGGATTTAAGTAATAAAAATCACTCACAATTTAATTTAATTAAAATAGACACTATAATATAAAAATATGTATGTACAAATATCGAAACGCATTACAATTGCGGAGGAATTCACGGTGTGTCGCGGATTGTATTCACGGACTGATTGATCGAGCAACTGACTAGCCGGTATATATATATATATCCGCGTCGATTATCTAGAACATTCTCGAAACGAAATAATCATCACATATTCTAGAACATGGGATTTCCCCTTATCCACCGACAACATTGTAAACAACCCGGACGACTCGTGGCCCGTTGTTTACGTCACCACATTATTATCAAAAAATATAATAATTATCATTCAAGTGAAATAGTGTAACTTCTTAAACAAAAAAATAATTTTATAATATTATTTTTAGAAATTTTATGTTAGCAACACATTTTATGCCGCAGTCTTTCGATTCTAGTCCTTATCATTTTTCGGACAACTGCTCTCAACACGATCGGTGCCGCTCCGATTTCGTGTGCGTGCTGCAATTAGGGATGGCAAGTTGTTTGTGAACATCAATGTATTGATTTATTCATTACGAAACATAGATGGTGACAAAATCGATAAATTAAAAAAACATCGGTCAAGAACTCGATGTGTTTAGAAAAACATCGATGTTTTTTAAAAAAACATACATATATTTAATAGGACAAAAATTATTGTTCTTTGTCATAGCCTACAAGCTAAATTAATTATAAACATACACAATTAATTCAATTTATTTACTAATTTATTAGAAAGATTAAAAAAAAAAAAAAAACATTGTGTAAGAAAATTAAATTAAAATTAAATAAATACAGTTCACAGTCAAATATAATCACAATAAATTCGTAAGTTATAACAACATTTTTTATATATTATTTTAAATTGAAACCAATGTTGTCATTCATATCGAAGCCAAAATTGATCGACCAAGTTGTGAAAAAAATCAATTTTGATGCTGATTTTCCACATAACCGGTTTCATTTATATATTTTTGGGAAACAGTTTATTTCTATAATTAGGTATTTTTACATATTTCACTAGTTTGTAAATATTATTAAACATATTTTATCATTTCATCATTCATACGTCTTCTTTGTACAAAAGTACAAGAAATTATTTCAAATTTAGATCAAGTAACTTCTATTGCTATTAGAAAAGCTCAAAATATTATGCAAAATGAAACATTAAAAACTAATTTTATTTTCATCTCAGTGAATTTTAGTTTTATTGCACATACATTTGCAAAATTAGAAACAAAAATGAAAGTATGTAATTTGTCGAATCAACGATTGCAAAATAAAAACTTGTAAGCGGACCAATAGATGTTGTAAAAAAGAAAATTCATTCTGTTGCAGAATAAAATTTCAGGCTATATTGATTTTCAATCAATCAATGACATAATGAGTGGCAGACATCCTTCTAAAAATTTGGAATTATCGTCTCTTGATATCATGTCCTTCAATTATGCTTTAATCAACCGATGTAGGTTGACGTGGAACGATAATTTAGCCGTTTTAAAAATATTTCCAGATCTAATAGGTGACATTTAATATTTGAAATTTAAAATATATTGTAATAATTCAATGCAACAAATCATTTTGATAATTAAATAATTATAATTTTTTTTTACTATACCAACATCAACCGCTTCAGTGGAGAGATCATTTTCATCTTTAAAAAGAATCCATACATATTGTCGCTCAACTCAAACACAAGAAAGAATAAACAGCTTAAATGTAATATCAATAGAAAAAAAATTGGTTTTCAAATTAAGAGCAAACAGAAATAAATTTTATGAAGATGTTATAAACAAATTTACTGAGAAAAAGAGAAGAATCGAATTTGAATTCAAATAAAAATCAATCTATAATAGAATATATTTATAAAAACATTTTCAGTTTGTATAATAATTTAATTTTATAAATTTTTTATGTATTTTTAAAATTTCAGTTTGTATAATAATTTAATTTTATAAATTTTTTATGTATTTTTAAAAACTTAAAAAGTATGTAAAATAAATAACTTTAATAATAACATGTTGATATTTAATAAGAATTTATTTTTCATAAGGGGGGGGGGTCCTAATCAATCACACATTAACGCCTGACGCCGAAAGTCAGGAAACGCCACTGAAAATAATACATTGGTAAACGTGACACATCGATGTTTTCAAAACATCTATTTTTTTGACATCCCTAGCTGCAATGGCAGAAGGGTAATTTGGTCCGCACTGCGTGTTACGTTAAAGTGTTGCGCGTGAGGACCGATGGCGCTAGTCGAATGTATTTTTTAATTTTTTAATTTCATCAAATCGGGCACATACGACGTGATACGATGGGCTAACATTTCCCGTTGCTATCGATCAATTATCGCCCGTAACGGTAATTCCACAAAATGTTGAGACGCGACTAAATACTCACGGACACAAACCATCATCGTCGACGAGTGCCAGTAGTAGGCGTGTGAGCAGCGGATAAGATGGTCGCGAAATATGTTGGTCTTGCGATCGCCCACGTGATCGGAAAAAACAACAAAATTACGTGTATAATTGTTCAAAAAGCCATTTAGCAGAAATATGTCCGGAGTGTTATAATGATACGTAAAACACAACAATGACGTTTGTAATGTTGAACGCAGATGAAAATGTAACATGCGATTTCTAAATCGGTCAATAATACTGTATTATTTATTCGTATATAAAGTATTATCTAGTACAGACTAGATGTATGGTAAGAAAAGGCAGTACTCAAAGTAGGTGCCCACGTCTTTGAGCGGGCGTATGGGTTCGAGGAGTACCCGAGAGTCAACATGAATACAAAAAATAACATGCATAAGAAGGAAATCCAATTATGAATAAGTAGTGCAAACAAAGCCTACTTGGCCATGGACAATTCAAGCTCCAAAGCCACAAAAGTGAAACTTTATACCTCCTACTTGAGACCGATAATAATGCGCGCACGCAAGACATGGTCCACTATACACTGGGGGGGGGGGGGAGTAGCTACTCACCTTCGATAGAAAAGTTTTACGAAAAATCCGCGGGCGGACCTGCTCGGAACCGAAATGGGCAGCAGTGTTCCCATATAAGGTACAATACGTATACCGATTTTTTGTGTGATGAAAATCACTGATGTCCTTATATGATTATAGGTAGATACATTGGCCTGTTTTCAAATTTCTTTCTGGGGGGGGGGGGAGTTAAGTTTTTCTAAAAAATAAGCGATTTTATGATATAAAAAATACATTTAAGATATGAATTAATAATTATATTATTCATCAAATTATCATTATTATTATAAATACAAGTGAAGAACTATTTAACATCACGTGGTAGAAATCAACGTTCTTTTCCTTTGTATCTTCGTAGAAAATCTTATGACATTTGAACAGTTTTTTACATCTGATGAGGAGGGGGGAGTTGGGACCCATAAAGATGAGTGTTAGTTTTTTTTGTCTACTCTGAAAATATATTGATTTTAATACATTCTGCTGCGGCCTTATAGCTATACTACCATAGTTTGATGATGGTATTTGTCGGTAGAATTCAATTGAATTAGATTAGTTAGATTTTGAAGTTTACCAATTTTGTCCATAACTAGGTATTAAACGTTAATGAACATTATTTATTGCTGCGTGTAATTTATGTTATGCTGTACCTACTAACCTACTAGTCTTATGATATTGTAAAATAATTTACAAGTTACATTAGATACCATCGTTAGTTATGTTATCGTTTTAAGCCAATCTGAAATCATTGATTTTTTTAAACATCTAATGATTGTGACCTTTATTTTTAATTAAACCCGATCGGACTGATAGGATGGATGGAAACTCGATGGATTATTTATCAACAGAAAATTATAGTCATTAGTTGAATTACCCGTCGATGCCGGGTTACAGTACAAAAAATAAGGTTGTTGAATAATTAAATAAATAAATAAATAAATAATAAATAATTTATTAAATTAATTTAAATTATATTATGTATATATTATTACAATAATTTGCAATTAATGTTTAGAAAAATCATGAAATGGAAAATGATTTAATTTCTTCAGTTTTAATTGCATTTATAGAGATATACGCAAGAAATTTACATACGGGAAAACTGCTAATATTTCACTCAATACAGAAAAATTGATAAGTAAATGAAAATTCAACGAATTTGTATATTATCATGGATTTTTTTTTATAAACTATATTCATGGTATCTTTTTGGTTGTTTGGTAATATTTGCATTTTTATTTTTTCAAAAGATCTAACTCTGGATATGGCAAGAAAAAGTTGACCATAATTAAATGCAAGTTTGGGTAAATGCAACCCTACTTTATCTAATGTTTGAACCTGTGCTTTGTTGATTATCATAGCAAAAGCTATTATTGGAAATTGACGTCAAGTAAATGAAAAGGGAAGAGCAGAATCTGATGGGATTAAATAAATTCTAGGCAATAAAATACGTTGGTTAGTTCCTTGACCAGTTTTAGATTCTAAGTCTAAAGAATGGTCGTACATATTTCGTACAATAAATCTAGTACCATTCATTAGATTGGATACTACATTTAAATTTCTCAATAGTATTACGATAATACCTTGTTTTAGTATCAAACTGTGGGGAAGTAAACCACTTAAATGTAAATTATCAAACATATCTGTAGCAAACAGAAAATGGTCACATTCCTTTGACACATTGTTTTAACTTAAAAACGTTTTTTATTGTACTGGAAACATATTAATAACTGCATTATTTATTTAATCACCATATTCATTTTTAGGTTAATTTAGTTGGAACCTAATATGTATGACGCTGTAGCACCACGAACAATCTATTTACATATGTACACGTGATGGCTATGCATCTGTTTTTTAAGAATTTTTTAAATTGTATACACTTATTTTACTCAAATAATGAAACTCTTTACTCATCACTGATTTAATAGTATGAATTTTTTCGAGTTTAGCCAGTCTTTTAATTTTAAACTACCAAGTATCTTCAAGATCGAAATATGGCGACCTTCTACTTTTTAAGTATATAAAATGGTATCATTATGTTTTTGATATTGTACTGTAAATGTTATGCTGTCATTTATGACACTTTATTTTTAACATTTTCTTCAAAATGACTAGTCGCGTAAAAAACTTTCTCTGACTTGTTTGTTTGCCTTTTACGTTTCGTCGAAATATATTTCGTCAAAACTATCATCATCAAAACGGCCAGATAAGGTCATTTTATTATATAGTATATCATTAATATATCAACTTATAGCTAAAGCACATACTTTTTTATTTCGTATATAAATTACTTTTTTTGAACTGCACAAACAACTTGTCCACAGTCTTTGTCATTTTTCATCGTTTTTTAAATGATAAAATTAGACACTTTTTATTTTATCAAGAAATATCTAAGCGTTATCATTGCTTGTCGAAATTTAAATGTAAACATTTGCTGTTTTTTGTTACAGATTGATTGTTCCAACTGTGTTCGCGCTGTATATATTGTTTGTATAAAATTTGTTCATGTCATCATTTTCGTGCGATGCGTAGCGGCGCGTTGCGTATTCGCGGCCCTCGTCGGCGGCGGTGATAAGCCTCCGTGCGCGACCGGCCGGATACGTTATCGCGCTGTTATCGTCGCACGTTAATGATTGTTATTCCACGTTTTCAAAAAATTGTCGGTTATGTTTTGTAAAAGTTTCAAATCATGCTCTCAGTGCCACAAAGTTCATTGATTTCGAGTGTTTTTCTATTTTGTGTGGTGGCACTGGGGCATTTTATCTTCATTATGGTGTCCGGCGGCCTTAGCCTTCGTGGTGAATGTCGTCGGACCCATCTCGCTCTTGTTTTTCTGTCTTCGTGGTGTGCGCACCGAAATTTATTTTTGTTAGTTTTCGTTAAATTCACGTTTTGTTGCTGTCTTCGTTGGTGATTGTGATTCGGTGGTCGCACGTACCAGACTGTGACATTTTTATTTGTATAATTTTAAACACTGCGGTGTGCCGTCTAAGGCAATTGTAGTCATAGTTCTGGTGCGGTCGCGTCGGGATAAAATCCGCCACCAATTACAGTCATCACATGTGAGTATTGGTCGACCATATTTGTTTCATTGTGTTAAAGGCCGACGGGCCTCAGCCGTCGTAGGCACATTATTATATTGTTATTTGTATTATTTGGCATTGCCGTCGTAGGCATATTATTGTTATTATATTATTTTGCATTAGCCGACATAGGCACATTATATTGTTATTTGTATTATTTGGCATTGCCGTCATAGGCACATTATTGTTATTATATTATTTTGCATTAGCCGACATAGGCCCATTATATTGTTATTATATTATAATTTGCATTAGCCGACATAGGCACATAATTTATTTGTAGACTTATTTTTTGGTGTGCGCCTTGTGGTCCACATATCTCATTTCATTTATTTTATTTATTTATTTAATTTATCTATTTACTATATTATTGTTACCATTTTGTTTCTTTCTTGTTGAGCCAAACAGGCTACATTTGTGATATTTATATTTTATATTTCTTACATTATACAGTCCACTTATTCACACCAATTTTTATTTATTTGTTTTAATTATACTTATTTTTAATACCAGTCCTTCAATAATTATTAAGGCGAACAAGCCAGCCCTCTACTATTGTTGGGCACTTGCCGCGCCGACAAACTGCATATTTTCGTCTTGGGTTTTACGGCATCATTTGAAGTCAATAGAAAAATAAAAAATTATAGACAAAACATTTTTTCTCAGATATTTTACATTTTCTTGTAATTTTATGTAGAATTTGTTTTAAAATGTACCATGTTTAAATACGAGGACATTATTATAATTATCTATAATTTGTGTTA